TATATATATATATATTTATATATCAGTTTATTAGATCTGTTTTAATAATATTCCATCAGTAGCACGTTATCTTGTCTTATCCATGTTTGTTTCAGTAGCCCTTTTAACGCCACTCATGGATGTATGAATATCTGGCTCTGCAAAGTCAACAAAGTACTTCATACTTCATCTGCAACTGGTGCTATTAAAAACAACACTCGAAATCAATAGCCGACACATATCAAAGTGACCCACTGTCCTTTTTGCATAGGCCTAATTCCCCTCAGTCAGATAATCAAGAGAAATAGATTCGAAAAGTTCAAGAACATATCATCAGCTATCTTTCTATATGGATGACATCAAGTAAACGTAGACTTGCATACTCTTTTAATACAAGGATATTGAGATCATTTAGAAAAAGTACGTCGAATGGTAGCAAAGAGGGGGAAAATAATTATGACTGATGAGGTGGAATTACGCTGGAACCAGCCTAACCAGTGGAGCTCAGACTAATTACAAGTACCCGAATATTCCACAGTCGTACGGGAACCACGATGGAGAGGAAAGAAAGACAACATTCAAATGATAACAAAGAATAACGAATTCTACGCCATACACATTTACGCGCTGCCAGCCATCAGATACTTCTTCTTCTTCTAGCAACTTTCATTACTGGTTAGGCTGGCTCCAGCGGCTACAAGGGTAAAATGCTTTTAAGTGGCGCAATTTGTGCCACCGTCGACACTAATTAAAGCCATTTCTTTTCCATCGTATAAATTCATATATTGCTGGTCCACCTATATGTTCAAAATCTTGTCTGACCGTATCAGTTCAGGTCTTAATTGGCTTCGCCCACCTCGCTTTTGACACCATCCATCAAAGAGAAAGTAACGAAATATGTGTCAACTCCTGTGGTGGACGTGCCCTAACCAGCGAATACAGGTGGTATTTGAACTAGGGTGGATGCGATCATGTGATATTTTATCCGCTGGACCCGTAAAATATACCTTAGACAAGAGTGGTCAAAGACAGATAACTTCTTAATATCCTCCACTCTCATTGGCCATGTCTCACAGCCAAATAGCAAAATCGAATGAATTACGGCTAAATAGATGCTGATTTTCATTTTTCAGAAGAATGCATTTCTCGCTGCTGTAATCCGGATTATCGTCTATTGCCTGGTCATTCGGTATTAAAGTGGATCCAAGATATTTAAAATCGGGCACTTCCTCAACCGGCGATGCATTTATAAAAAGAGGCATTTTATCAGCTACGCTGAGATGATAAAAGGAGGACATGGAGAATCACGATGTGAAGAACAGGAAACTTCTCACAATGCAAGGACCAACCAATACCAATCGAAAAAAAGGTGGATAAGCTTGGTTGAGTGTCAAAGCCACTATGCTAAATCCAAAGCATTCAGAAACCAATCAGCAAGATGGCACCAAAGAACTCCTTAGAGAAGTATCAACTTTGGAGATGTTTGAAGTATCAACATTGGAGGATACTGGAGAAAGGTCAAGCAAAAAAAGTTCCATGGCATGGAAAAATTTTCCATACACATATTACCATATATATACGTACGTACCACCGATATATGGCTGAGTTGTCTTTGAATTGTCAAGCCATAATAATTCCATTGTGTTCTCCCGTTATGCTTTAATTTTCCGTATATTACATAGGGCTTTTTATTGTTTCTAATATATGTAATCCAATGATAGTACGCTGGATGGCTGCAATAGCCATCGGATGTATTGAGAATGTAAAGCCTTGCACACGACATAAACTTGTCAAAAAACCGAGTAATGTTGGCGACCCACCTGCACTCAATTCCATGGCAAAATTTTCAACCGATAATAGCCAGCCGATCTAACTGGAGATGGGCAATAACCATTCCTTTTATGTATGAGCGCACAACATTATTTGTCATGCATGGTTATTTTCAGTGAAAATAAAAATAATGAAATTTCTTTATTGCGATATGATAAATAAATCTTTGTCATTTGTTGGCCTTTGCTCTTCTGATTCAATACTTTTTTTATTAAAATAATTTTTAAAAAATTAATCGATAACATAAAAATAAAACAAAACAGTTGTTAACACAGAATAAAAAAGAGGAACATAGTAAAAAATAAAAATCATAAGAAAAATTCGAAAGCATAAGAAAAAATTCGAAAAAAATATTCCATTTTTTCTATTTCAAATTTGCAACATTCGAATAAATCACCGAAGAATGTGCAATTAAAATCATCCGATGTTTAAATGAGATCGGCCACTAAAAAAAAATAAATTTAATTGAATTTTTCGAACAATTCAATTAGCAAATAATTTTATTTTTAATTAGATGTAAATATACCATTCATTGGCATTTCATCAATTTGAGTGGCATAATACTGTTCAATATCTCGAAGAATCCGAATATCATCCGATTTTACGAAGTTAATTGCGACACCTTTCCGACCAAAGCGACCGGAACGACCGATTCTGCAAAAATTTACTTTATAATTGCAGAGAAATTTTTTAAGTTTTTGTATTCACCATACAGAATTTGCGAATATTTATTGCGATGCGATGTTTTGAAGTCGCATACTTTTTTTGTGCAAAATCCGTTTTCTGCTTTTTCGTATATTTCAGTCCCACAATTTTGAAATGAATATAATTTTCCATAACTCCACGAGTTGAGGCAATCAGCGACAGATGACTCGAAATATGCAGATACTTTATGGCGACAGGTATACAAAAAAACGACAAATTTACGTAGTTCAGATCCACAAATATAACCTTGACATCCCACGAAACTGCTGATCCTCAAGTTCCAAGAAAAAAGATCACAGGAAAGTGAATCACAGAAGATTTTGTATGATTAGGGTGAAAACCTTGCCGCATGGTACCATCCAGAGCCACTTCTTAATGGGAGGAAATAAAATGCAGGACATGTGTTTTAGGACACATTTGGGGCTATAAACTATCAATACGACAAGGAATCGTTCTTTTCTAAAACGGGTTCTTGACTGGAAAATATAAAATACAATACAATAACAAAAAAAAGTTGGCATAGTCAGTGCAGTCTTTCGTCCATTATAATCTCTCCCTAAATTTTTCTTTCCAATACCTACCAACAGTAATTTGCTAATAACTTCCTCAAAGTGGAAAAATGTTTAAAAAAAAGAGCCTAAAAATAAAATGGAGTAATTCATTGATTCCACAGATTCGGAATTCTCTTCAAATAGAATAAAAAAAAGTAATATGAATACTGCTTATTTTGAATAAAAAAAAAAGATTCTGAATGATTTTTCGAAACAATAACGATTTGCAATTGTGTTTCAAAAATTTTTCATGTTTCAAAAACGCATTTCTTCAAACGCATCACGCATGAACTTAGAACCCAGTAGAATTAAAATGGCATTAACATTACAGTAATATAAAAACTAGAAAATAATCAATATAAGTATAAATATAACTTTCATTCTTCGTATCCTATCATACTGGTTGCTCATCGGTACAAATGACACCGACACTTATTATCAGCCAACTTTCATAAAACATAAATAGGCAATTTCTTCATGTCGTAAACCATTCAATATTCTTATGCTTATTATATTATAGACATATGAATTTTTTGCTAACTTCAAGGTTTTTTCGAAAGATGTTATTTTAGCATCCCTTTTATTTTATCATATACTATGAGCGCCAATCTTGCCTCTGTTTCATATTTAATATTGTCAATCATAAAATCTTCACGATATTTCCTCACTTTATCCGACATTCATATCCGATAACATAAATATATCCTTTCTAAGAAAAAATGAAAAAAAATTACCGATGTATATACAATTCACGATTATTGGGTAAATCATAATTAACAACCAGCGACACCTGAGGAATATCCAGACCTCTAGCGAAAACATCAGTTGAAATTAAAAGACGACTATAAAAAAATAAATGCAAAGAAATTATATTTAAAATGATTTTTACATTAAAAAAATCCAAAAACTACTGGAAATATAAGGTGTACTCAAAAATGCAGAAATATCTGGATTAAGAGAGAAATTACCTCGATCCTGAACGAAATTCCTTTATTATTGCATCTCTATCCTTCTGTTCCATCTCTCCATGCATGGCTGATACTGTAAAATTTGCTTCTTTCAATTTTTCAGCAAGCCAATCAACCTTCAATAGAATATACGAGTTAAAAATTTGAGGCAATAATTCTCTTCATTTTATCCAAATAAAAACCTTCAAACTTTTATCCACCCAATAATAAACAAGAAGAATCTGAGTTTCCACTATGTCATTAGGTCTAAATTTAAATTTTTTATATGCGAGTTTTTTAGTCATAAACAATCAGTGTGTTCTATGTTGATTAATAATTAGAATTTTCTTGTGGGTTAAATATTATTTAAATATTATTTCAAACAATATTAAATATTATTTCTTCGCGTATTGCAGAAGATAACTGCTTGGGTTATAGTTACTGTATCATAAAGATCGCAAATATTAAATATTATATCAAATATTATTTTCGCATATTTTTAATTTCCAACATATTTTCCTACTATTTTTCAATAATTTAGTTGCATGGCATCTCTGGTGCAACAAATTTGTTAACCCGATATAAAAATGATAACCTTTCTTCGCGTATTGCAGAAGATAACTGCTTGGGTTATAGTTAGCGTATCATAAAGATCGCAAAGTGTATCAAATTTCCATTCCTCCCTATCAACAGCCACAAAAAATTGCTTGATTCCTTCCAAAGTCAATTCATCACTAAATGTAAGCATAATTATAAGCAGATATCATCTGTTCATGGAATTTTAAAAATATTAAAATTAATCGATCTTCAAAAATGATGTTTTGAGAAAGATTTACCGTTTGACAAGAATTCTGATAGGATCAGTCATAAATTTACTGGTCATTTCAAGGATTTCGTGAGGTAATGTAGCAGATAAGAGCACAACCTGTGCTCCCGGCGGAAGATAACGATAAATATCGTAGATTTGTTCTTTGAAACCTTTGTTCAACATTTCATCAGCCTCATCCAGTATCAATAACTTTATACTTCTGGTGCGCAAATGTCTGCGACGAATCATATCTGCAAAATAAATAAAATTAACTATTTAAATATATTTAAATATATATAACTAAATAAATAAAATATGATTAAAAGACAAACCAAAACTGAACCAAAACATGAAAAGATATTTCGAAAAGATGATTTAACAATATGGTTTAGATGGAGAAAAAAGAAATAACGTTTCAGATATGGCATTTAAACTGGAAGTATAAACGGATAGTAAAACTTACCGAAAACACGACCAGGGGTCCCCGAAACAACATGTTGTCCATAATCGAGCTTACGCATATCTTCACCTACATTTGTCCCACCAATACATGCATGGCATTGAACATTTAAATAATCGCCCAGAGCCAACACTACCTGAAAAATATGTTGATAAACTGCAGATTTTTAACATTTGAAATCTGAAACATATGACAAGAAAATTTAAAGGGCAATAGTTCTACCTAAATTTTTTCATATCCTCAACTTATAAATCTTTCAATGACTTGGGTCAATCTATTTGAATTAATCATAGATGAAAAAAACCTTCTGAATTTGAACAGCTAATTCTCTGGTGGGAGAAAGAATAAGAGCTTGCGTTTCACGTAATGCAATATCAAGACTTTGTAAGACAGCAATACTAAATGTTGCTGTCTTTCCTGTGCCAGATTGCGCTCTAAAAATTAGAAAATCTTACTCAAAATGCATAATAAAGGATATTTCCAGATGTATTAGCATATAAATATATAATTTAAAAGTAAATGTAAACTAGCGACTAAGAAAAAATTTTTGCAAAAGAAAAAATGGAGAATGAATGTACTGTGCGATCACATCTCGTCCCTTTATAATTTGTTTAATGGCACGTTGTTGAATCGCGGATGGCTTTTCAAATCCTAAAAACTACTTGAGCTACTAGACAATTATAAACAATTATGTATCATCAAGATTTAAGAGGATGAAATAATCAAAGCTCCACAAAAATTTTCATCATTCTAAATATTCCTAACCATGAACGAAAAAGCACCTAAAATATCCTAACCTTTTAAACAACAAAAAACCTTTTCATTCATTCAGAGCTACCTAAAAATTTATTAAACTCCTTTTATTGCTTTCTGTTTAATTTTTTGATGGAATACTAACCATACGAATAGATTCCACGGAGCAAAGCAGCGCTAAGACCCATACGATCAAATGCCGTCACAACATCAACTTCTTCTGATGTTTCAAATTCAACATTTGATAAATCCTCAACAGTTGGTTCAATCTGTTTTCTCTTTTTCGTTGCCATTATCTGCACTAAATAAATTCATCACAATTCGCATAAAAAAATCATACAAGTATAATGACAAGATAAACCAGTAAGGAGCCAACATTTTAAAAAAATGATAAATAATTATAACAAATAAGGTCAGCCCACGACTTACTTGAAGTGTAGACAATGAACAAAAAAAATAACTGATTTGCCACAAAAATAAAATGGGATTGAAAATAACAATGGCGTGAAAAAGGGTTGGTGGTGATGCTGAATAATCTGCGAAACTACTGAAAAGTACTAGGTTACGCAGATTTTTTCATTTTTTTTTCATACTTTATATATTTCAGGAAAGATGGAAATTTAAAGAGAGATTTGTAAGGGAGAAGACGAAAAGTTTAGACGCTTTAGTTTAGACGTAAATTAAGTCGCTTGATTTCGCAATAAAAATTTGATTTGATTCGTGGGATATATTCACGACAATATAGTAAAACTATAGTCACAAAGTAACTTAAATCTCAAAAATCTCAAAAAAATATGACCACATAATATCCGTGAGGACCAGGTAAAAGTTCACTAATAAAAAACTGCCAAAGAAAAATCTTTAGTGCACATTCAGTCGATATTCTAAAATAATAAAAAGAAACTTAAAGGGAACGTAAAAATTGAAGAAACTAAGAAATACTTCCATTTCATGCGAATTCATGCGAAACCGATCAGGAATTAAATTCAAATATTACATAAAATGAATATAGAATAGTTCTTTAAAAGCCTCTTTTGGAAAGAAGACGTTATATCAATATATCATTGTAAATTTTATTTACAATATTTATGAGTTCAAAGAATGCTCGGCAATGTTGAATAAGTTCAGTTTACTCAGGGTTAGAATATCTGGTCGAATTGTCTCAATTCTGCTGATATCTCATTAGAAGTCGATTTCGACATTTCACCCAAATAATTTTGCTAAAGATGTATCATTTCCGAATTAAACAAAAACATATTTTAAAAATTATACAAGATTTAAAAACGTCTCTGCAACAAAAAATATATTTTGTAAATGTAAATGTATAATGTAAATGTAAATATATATGTATATTGAGTAAAAATACTATATATGGCTTAAGACGTTGAGGGATTTTCTAACTTAGATAAACCTTCATTTCGACTGCAATAAACATTTTGGCAGACTCAATTCCCAAACATCGGGGTATCGAAGCAGACTGATGAATTCAAACTGAAAATGCTCAACATTAGCGAATATGAAAATTTATGATATAAAGATAAAAATGATATATGAGAATATGAGAATAAATGCACCGTGGAGCAGATGATGCTAGAGACACAAATATACTTTGCACTTATAATTAAGTGACAAGATTTTTCTGGATGAGCCAGCCTAATCAACAGTGATGAGCATTTTCAGAAAACAATAGGCAATGAAAGAGAAATAAAAGAACGAAAAAAAAAAACGGTTATAAAAGGATAGTGTAGATTCATATAAAAAGAATAAAGATGTGACTGAAACGGGGCATTCCACTGTATTTCTATTCGCAAGTGGATCAGGGGCGAAATGATTAGACCTCTAGGATTAAACAGCTAGTATTCATTTTGTACACATTAGTACACATTTTTGGTCGAGCTAGCCGCACAGAACTGGTTGTTATCAAGGGAAATTTTTATCATAGGACTTATTTGGCGACAGAAGTACATATTGCCAGCGCTACTCCTGCTGAAGAGGGATCGAATCGTGGTGCTCGGAACGATTATTAAAGTCAAAGGAATGGAGTTAGCCAAAGCGTTCTTGTAAAAAATTAAAATAAAAACGAAGCAAAAATAGAGTCAAATACAATTACTGTTTCAAATACAATTACTGCAAAGTTTAAACCGAACAATAAGATCGACAAAAATCAAAATCAACGTCAATTTAAATAGGTCAAATTCATAAACAACTGGCAACTTTACAATAATCTTATTATATTAATATTACAAATACAATAGTCACAAATATATTCACACGAAAAATATTCAATACAATTTCACATATAATAGAAAAAAACATGATGAAGAATTTGCATTGATAAAAAAACGAATAAACCATTCACAAATTTAGAAATTACATAAAAAACAGTTCGCTAACAACTGAAGATTCAATTTAAAATAATTTTTATCTCCGTTCCTCCACTCTGTTCCTCCGAAATACACACCAAACATTCGTTTTGACCAACCGCTGCCCTCTATATTCCACTAACAACCCCCCTACCCCTACTCTTCTTTGCAACCCCCACAACCATCTCCCCCACCCCACCCTCACAGCAAACAGAACAACCCACCAGCCAATAATTGATCGCATCCTCTGTAAAATTGATCAGTTACGTTGAGAATTTCCTTTTGAGACAAGCAATTTTGAGTTGTGCGAATATTGCAGCACAAAACTTTCAAATCGTTTTAATCGGATTCGCTTTAACCGACATTCCAGTGTATTCCAGTGCACTCGTTAACCTGGCTAACTTAAACTCGTGTTTCGGCTTCGATGTATCTCTTTCAGACCGAAAATCGAGGCATTTTAATCTGTCGTATTGTGTGCTTTAACCGTTCGCCTATCAAATTTTTCCCGTTTTTTTTTACACGTTTTCTTTAAATCCAAATTCCAACCTGATTGACCCATTTAGGAAATTCAGCTTAATCATTCTTCTCATCGATTTTCTTAGTGTTTCCAAAAAATGTTCATTTCTCCGAACTCTCATCATTTTTCATGATCCCTATCGCGATTAATTTTCATTTTTATTGATTCACTGTCACCGAGGTTGCAAAATTTTCGCCCCATTGAGGTTCGCTTTTGATAAGAGATCGATATTCGAAAACGTTACGAGAGTGACAACCGTTTGAATTTGTTTGACCTCTGGGATGGAGAAAACAACTGATTTTCGTATCATCGTTGTGCAGTGGTAAATTTGTGGTTATTCACTGAACGACATTGATACTTTTAGCATAAATCGTTTTCTTTATTCCTTGCTGCGCGAATGAAGAATTGGAAGATTTCTTCACCACTGAGTCACTTGTGGACAGAAGCGGATAGACCGCCTGCTCAAGCCTTTTCTTCTTCTATAGCTCGCACCATTGGTCGGTTTGGCTCTCTGTCCTCACGACCAGAGTGAGGTGTTTCCAAGGTGCCTTCGATCCGATGCCTTTCATATTCCTTTCATAATAGATTCTAGCCAATTCTTTTTCCACCGTCTAGGGGTTTATATAGTTGGGAAACATACGAGTTCAAACCTGTATAGGATGTACTTTAGGCAAGAATGGTCAGAGGCAGTTTTCTGTCTACCATTGTCATGGCCAAATTTCTGCGCGAGGCTGTAGATTATGCATACCAGATACGAACTTCCATTTACGGCGATGAGTCCAATTCCAAGGCGATTTTGGGCGGATTTCTCAGAGGGAGAAAACTGCAGCAGTTCGGAGTGGATTTTCATCTATTACCTGGCTGTTAGGTGTACAATGAATCGGAGAATCAGAGTCCGACTTCTTGAACCGTTGATGAATTTAGCCGTTATATAAAATCCGATTTTATCAATATCCGTTGTATGCGTTGAAGAGTTTGTTTTATTTGCATTGGTAAGAAGATCAGTATTTGTTCCCAAAATTGTTCTTTCAAAAATCCACTTTTCTTTTCAGATGAGAAATTGAAAAATGTCGGAAAGTGATGAGTCAATTGATTCACATGATCTCTCACCGCGCATGATTGGTGTTTCGGTTTCAAAGGATACTGGAACCAAAGTCGACCTTATTTTAAGGTTTTTTTATATTTATCTTTTAATTTTGGCCGAAAATTTATTTTTTCGGGATATTGCCATTTGTTATGTGATAGGCTTATAGCGGCGCTATAAGTTGAGTGAAGAAAAAGAAATATACATCTCATTTCAGCCGAAATGTCTCATTTTTAATGGTTCGTAATCGGACAACCGACCAATAGGTGAGAAATGAGGTAGCAACAGATTTCGCCTGTTTTGGAAATTTTTTGAAAATGAATGAAAAATTTATTTAAGCGAATACTTCATTTTTCATAAGTATTAGTAGTAAAATACTAATAGCATTAAAAATATATAGCGAAATAGTTGCAATATATATTAACAATCAAACATTGAATATTGAATAAATTTTAGCATTAAATATAAAATATAATAATTTTACCATAAAATTTTTTAGAATTAATGGTCTACGAAAGCGGCGGAATTTTTTCTCTTCATTCATAAGTGCATTTAAAAAGCCGTCAGACCCATCAAAATTGTCAACGAATGCGAATTTTACTCAGTTTAATTTGACTTCAACTTCTCTACAGTTATCAGTTGATATTCAAACTGAACGACGTAAAAAAAGAAAAGGAAACGCAAATCGTTTGGATACGTTCAAATGTTATATACGACGATTTCCAACGAGTATTAATCCGGATTCTGCTGAATTTGAGGTTTATTTTATTTTAAATTATTTTATTTAGGTAAATGATCTCAACTTCCTTTTCGGTTGGCTCGAACTATTTTTGGTTTTATTGATTCTGCGATGAGGGATATAAGGGTAATGTGGTCAGGAACGCTTCGATTTGCGTCGAGCATCGCGTACATTCGATATCTCCTCTATAGGAATGAACCTATCATTATCGTCTTGATAATTGCGATCCACCTATCTTTATCATTAAATCTATATCTTTTTATAAATCTTAACTAACAGCCAGCAGGAATAGCCCGACCAGAAATGGGCAGCACCGACTGCTTTTAAATTAAAGTAGTAATAGTAAAACATATTTAAAATTAAATTAAACTTTTAAATAAAATTAACTTGAATTTTAAAATCATTTTGAAAACTTTTTAAGAAATTCTTTCATTAATTTATTTATTTTAAATACAAATATTTTAAGTGAAAGTTAAGCGACATTGCAATTCGCCTTAATTATTTTTGTCTTCATTTCACTTTTAAAAAAATAAAATTAAGTGGAAAATTACTTATTGCTAAGAATTTAACTTTAGCTTTTTTTTGAAAAAGTTAGGATTTAATCGAATGTTTCAAGCTCTTTTTGCGTTGAAGTATTAATTTTCATAAATTTTGGTCTTAAGAAAACTATAATTTTTTCCTGTTTTTACGAAAATTTTCAAGTTCTATAAAAGTTAATTTTACATTAAATTATTTATTATTAATGCCTAATAATCAATAATATTAATGCCTAAGGCAGCATTCAAATTCATTTCACATTAACAAACAAATGGATGGAGGCGTTCATAGAAATTGGCGTTAATTCTATAAATAATATTGTCAAACAACATAATAGAGGAATTTTTTCGTGAAAAAATGAAATGAAGGCGCTTTCATTCTTAAAATCATTACTTCATTTCATTTATCAAATCCTTTAAGAATAATAGTCTAAATTTTATACGGTTAGTGATTTTTTCGTTGGAAAAATGTACTTATATTTTGTATGTATATATAATGTACTTATATTTATTTATACTTTTTTATACTTTTACTTTCCCCTTAATCTGCTTATTTTCCTTGACTATATAGAGCCTTTTTTTTGATATGTGAGGCTCTTTAATAAATGTAATGAAAATATGGCAGCAAATTTTTTCAGATCATGGAGCCTGCTAGTGGAAATTGTTTCATCTTATTAACATTGATGAAAACGGATAATCTAGCTGTAAATTGGAAAGAATTTCAGGATAGTAATGGCACTATTGATGCTTCAACATTGTAGTTCGTAATAATATTTTTTCACACATATTTTCTTAAAACATTTTTATCACTGTATTTTAAAATTAAAGAAGCTATTTATTATATTTTAAAATTGTTTGAAAAAAAATTTTAAAATAATGTAAATTATGGTATGAGATTTTCTGAAACATTGGGTCACTTAAAGAGTTCCATGGTTTTTTATAATTTGCTTTTATATGATTGAAAATCAATATGTTCATTCAAAATAAGCTGATTGATGAAGAGCCGAATTTCGACTATCTTAAATCCACTCTTGTACCATGCAATTTTAATTATAAAAGAAAACTTCTACAATATAACCTGGATTCTCTGTCAGTTCGTCCTATGATTTAATTTATACTTATAAGATTTTGTATGGTTATGTTAAATTAGATTCAAAATATTATAATTTTAAGTTTAATTTAAATCCAACAAGAACTAATGGGCTAAAATTACTAAAGCCTATGTGTAAAACCAAACTAAGGACTCATGATTTCTTTATTCGTAATATTAATTTCTGGAATAAATTGCTGAACGACATAGCTTGCGCCATCCTTAGCTATCTTTAAAAAAAGAGTAGATAATATCATTTATGATATTATTTAAAGAATTCATGCAGGAAGTGTGAAATCGCGATTTTTACCATCCGATTATAGTTATTTCGAATTGTACTATATTTTATTATTTTGCAGTATCCTCTTTATTTCATTTTTAAATTGCTTATTTTATTCTAATATTATTTTTTTTTGTTATTTGTCATTAATTCTTATTATTTGTTATTTTAACTAATGTTATTAATACAAGCACATGGCGTTTGCGCCCTGCTTGGCTGGTTTTCAATAAATAAATAAATGGCCAAAGATAAGGCGAAATTCTAGCTTTGCAACCAGGAATATGTTTTTCAGCATGGGAAAATCTGTGAAATCATTGCAAAATCAAAAAATTTGCATCTACCTGGTTGCAATGCTTATTATCCTTCTGTGTGGATGCATGGCTGATGGAAGCAAAAGGTATTAAGAAAGCCATCTGCTTTTGATCACATGTCGTTCATCATATCACATATGGTTGCACTCACTTTGGTCGAACACCATTAATAATATCGGTACAGAACTTTGTCCACGCAAATTATCTCGCTATGGATGGCATCAAAGACAAGGCCATCAGTCAAGGCTTCGACTAGTATATAATGAGAAGAGATTGGACTCATAGGCCCAACGATATGTGAGTATGGATGGTGAAAGTATAAGCGGTTAAGGTATAGCGTAAGATCATGCAGCTTTGGCCGCCTCACCCTTATAGTTAGCGAAACAAGCTTAATTAGGCTTAATGGTAGGTTGTCAAAAGAAAAAAAGAAGAATAACATGTAGGGAAAATTTTTATCTTCAAATGGACAAGTTCCTCAAAAGCATTCGTTTTGTGGTTTGGTGCTGTCATGAGAAACAATGGGAGCTTTTCCATTAATCAGCTAGCAATCAGTTGCTTTATTTATAATTGCCGATGGTTCCTTTCTAATTCATGCAATGTTTCATAATCGAAGCTTTAGATTTTACTACCACTGATGAATCAATCCAGCACCAAAAGAGTTTTCGATTTGGGATCAGATTTTGTCGAAGGAATTTTTTGCGCGACCATTATACTGAAATTTTCCTGTTATTTTATTGAATTCTTTTTTTTCGTTAAAAATCTTTTCCAAAAAAGGGTCCGCAAGGTTTTGTCTATTTCCCTTTGATGTCTAAAAACTCGTGCTTTGACGTTCTGGCTTCGTATAATATTCACCTGTCAAGTCTTTTTTTCTCTATAATGTACACATTGCCATGTGGAATGTTAAACCTTTCAGCAAAATTCTGCAGGAGTCCATCCAAGATCAATCTCAATCATTATTTTTTTCGAGGAGAGGGCCATTCTTTTGAAAAAACCAAAGTTGCGGTGTTAAGTTCAAAAGTGTTGTGGAGAAGTGTTGAGGTCCAATAAAATATGGTTTCAGACACAGAAGTAGGCACGACAAAAAACGTAGGGATTTTCTAGATGGCCCAATATCAACCGTGGTAACCGATGTTTTTTGGCTTGTAATTCATTTTTTATTGCATTTTATTTTTTTAAATTATTTTATTTAATTTTCTTTTTAATATCACAAGAAAAGTATTTATGGATTTATGAAAAGAAAATGACGACAAAGATGAATCGAATGATAAAAATTGTAGAATGGAAATGTGGCGTTTTGATCTTTTGATTTATTTTGCTTCAAATTAAAATACTTGTGATATCTGAATCAGTTCACTCTACATGATTCCAGAAAAATTCTTCGATTTTCCCAGAAAATTCAGAGTTTTGGTTTTATCATGCATTTTTAGAAAATTTAGAGGATTTGTTAGGAAATTTTCTTAGGTCTTAGATTTTTTTAGGTTTCTTAGATTTTTCTTATTTTATTTTATTTTAATGATAATGCATTGTTTGTTAATAGCTTTCACTTCTTTTCCATTACGTTCTTGTAGATGGGATGTGGATTTGAGGATAAAATAATAATAGAAACAATAGAAACAATAGAATAGAATTACAAGGAAGTCATCACAGTTCTGGGTTTTCTGACGACAGGTTTATTGCTATAGAGAATAATGGGAAGCATAGAGCAAACCTTTATGCTCGAAACAATCTGAACAACAACCAAGCGATTGCCATATAGTTTCTACTGAACGAAAAGGAAAAATGGAAAGTTCTGTTTTTTTTAAAAATGTTTAACATTAATGATTGTTTTAAGATATGTGATTTCTAAAAAGTTTTGTCATTATAACTTAGTAAACGCACCTTTTTTTGTTCGATTATTTTCAATATTTTAATGGGATTTTAATTTTGTTCTTTATAAACTACTTATAAATTATCTAAATCGTTCTAAAAGTTTTAACAAATTTCATATTTCTTCCGGAAGAAATTTATAAATCTATGATTATAATTCCTTGATTATAAAATGCATTATACTTTCAGAAAATGGTTAATCGTAAAAATATATTTTAGGCTTTTTTCATTTTTATCAGATATATTCAGTTGTAAGTGAACAAGTGATTCGCGCTCAGCATTTTCGGTTAGGATTGCTCCGTTTGATATTTGTAGAAATTTTGGAGATACGACTGATTTTAACCAGGGAGTCAGATATAGCGATAGAAATATAGATGGTTCGCCACCAGGTTTTTTAATGGAATGTCTAGCCTAGAGCAGCCCAGATCCTTTCTTCTCAGTTTTACGTACCACACTCAGTTATTTGGGGAATTTGGTGGTCGACGATGTTGTATCTTTTATTAAAATTTATGAATAAATTCGAATAGATTTTTTTTTTATGTGGTTTTATAATTTGGTATCAAGGTGATAATTAAAATATTATATTAAATATTAATATTAAATATTTGGTAATTAAAATATTTATATTGATTACAAAAATAACTGTACAAAATACGATGAAGTGAAAATTTTGAAGGGCACTTATTAATTAAAGGACAATTGGCATGACTGGATAGATTATACGTCAAATACCATAACACATGAATATTATAATGAATATATTTTTGCGTTGCCATTACTTATAGATGATCCTTGAAAGATATTTTGGTACTTGGCTTACCAGAAATAGAGCAATTGCAAGGGGAAAAAAACGGTAAAAATATATCTCTCAAATGGTTCGTTCCTATAAGTAATATGGGAAACCTATCAATTCCTAAAATATAAGGTAAATTTCTGAAAAAGAATAATTAGAAATTTATCAAAGTCCACTGATTGCCAATTCACTTTTTTTTAGGTCAACTGCTTCAAATTAAAAAAAAGAGGTCGTCGCCTTTGTTTATTATAATGTTGTAACAAGTAGGAGATCATCATCATGAGTTTCTTGCGAATTAGCTGGACGAAGGAGTGCTGATGACGAATAATTATTATAATCACGAACTTCACAACGATCCATTCCAAGGTGCTCGAGGTATCGTTGATCAGTTAGGGTTGCTGCGACTCGTTCCATTTCTGATTCTTCCAGCGAATATGCTGAAATTATGATTTTTATATGCACAATTTTTAATGAAATGAAACCATAGATATCAATTTTCTCTTTATTCATGTAGTGATCAGAAGTTAAGAATAAATTTGCATTTTATAAATTATTAATAAAAGAAATGCAGTCGAATTATTGGACCATAGAATGGAACCAAATTCCTTCATCTCAAAAAAATAAATGGGTTGGAGCTCATCGTTTCTGGTTAGATTTTTTTAACCTGCCAGTGGGGATCAGAATTTTTGCCGAGGAGATATTTGGCGATAGAGGTACAAATTAGTGCCAATATTAATAGGGTTTTTTCATGAGGGCTTTTTCCTATTGGAGGCAGGAGCCAAACCACACTAACCACACCCTAATCATGATAATCTCAGCTAATAACCACTTAATTATGCTGTAACTTTTCATTTCATTTCGCTATTTTAATATGATACTGCTCGAACCTTCAGCGATTTCTCTTCGTGCTGCTTGAACAACGCGTTCATCCATATATCTTCCTAAATCTAATGCTTCTCCAACAAGTCGCTCACTCAAACGCTTTTCATTTTCTTCAGCTGGTATTAATAAAGGACGGCTTGAAAATGGCAGTCGAACTGATTTACCATCTGGTGCTGGCCTAAAAAATATGTCAAAAATGCTTTTATAGATTTGCCAATACTAGATATAAATGTATAACAACGGAGAATATAGAAAAAAAGACCGATAGGTGCCTTCAAATGCGTCGCTCATATTAGATGGTACTCCAGCCATTACTAGAGCTTGATTTCGTGCTAATAAAAATGGTTCACGAAGTCCCCTTTCTGGCATTCCGTCTTGCAACCATTGATAATTCTTTCGAATGTTATTTGTATCACGTTGCTCGTACCATTCTTCGTCTTCATCAGTATCCACTGGCGTGCTGAAATGGTTGTGGCTGCACTGCGATCGTTAAAATTTTTCACATATATCTGGATTAACGAATGGATAACCTCCGATTAGCGAGAATGAATCGGTGATTATAGCTAATATAAGCCCCTGTTTCTTTTTGATCACGTGTGAATGGAATTTGAGGAAGACGGCGTTGACGAATGCCTCCATTTACTCGTGGAGACGTGGGAATATTAATCGAACTATTCATATTCAAATTCACACCAGCATGTGTAGCTAGAGAAGTTACATTATTACCATGTAATGAATGTGTTGGTGATAGATGATTCGCTGAAATATTCGAATCTGAAAGATATTCTTTTTTCACCAAGCAAAAAATTCCTTTATATTTGTTGTTTCATAACTAAATTTATATTATCATAATTTATCACAAACTGACAGGAATGTACTAGTTATATTAAAAAGATATTGAGGACATTGTGGTTTGTGATGAGTAGAGATTCTCAAAGAATGAAACTCCTAAGGACCTTAAAGACTTCTTTCTTGAAGAGATCCTTGATGCCATTTCCATGATGATACTAAGACATAATTTTTATTTATTTATTTATTTAGTAATTTTTAATAGTTTAAAAGCGTCTTGGGAGCAAAAAATATGAGAACCACTGGTCTAATAGTTTACACCGTGGATAAACAATTAATATTTTAAAAAACAAAAAATGAAACAAAAAAATGAATATAGAAATGGTTAAAATCGAAAAAGATGCATGTAACTATGTATTGAAGTAATGAATTAAAAAAAAAAGAAAAAGACATTTGAATTTAAAATTTTAGGTTAAAATATTTGATGAATTTCTAAACTTACTTATATTTGTTACTACTAACTTATATTTTATTTCTATATTTTATAAACAATTTTGGCAAGCAATTTACAATAAACTGAGAAATAGTTTATGAAAAGTAAAATAAAAACCAGTGATAGGAAGTAAACGTGATATTCGTTCTTCACCATACACCTCATGATTCCGCGATGATGTTCCACTTAATGCATTCATTATATTATTGAAGAGTGAATGTGGACGCTGAAAAAATGAATTAGGTTCTAATTAAGATTGATAGGTTAACTCGTTAAATTTTAGTAAAATTAAGCCAAATAAAGTCATCAATTTGTTGGATTGAATGTGAAATGACGAGAAAGATACATTGTTTCTAGATATTTAACGCTTTCAAGTTCACACCAATTCATTTGTTAAGAAATTACAATCACGTAAAGCTAAAAAAAATGAGCTTGATATGAGATAAATGAATGTATTAGGGGAGGATAGAGGTAGTTCTTCTGAAAAAAAATTTTTTTTAGCCTAAATGTAAAAAAATTTGTTAGGAAATGTGAATTTGCAAGAGGACAAGGTGATATAGCCAATTATCCAGAAATAATGGTTCCTAAATAATCTCCTTGAAACAAGAGATTGAACAATAATTCAAAAAAAAATTGAAAATTGAAAATTGCAAAAAAAATTTTTCTAGAAAGAAAAACGAAAAGTGAACCCGATGCTGAGGTTCTTCCAAATCGACAGTAAAATCCGATTCAAGATTTCCGGAAATCGCTCTCTTCAATTCGGGTCCTATCTCATGCAAAGTTCGAAGACCAGCTTGAAGCGCCATGGCTTGTGATGTTTGGTGAGTAACACCACCTAAATTTCAAATATTAACTTCATTTAGTTTTAGTTTTAATTTTCACCAGATTGTGAATAAGTAAAATAAATCATTGAAAAAAGCAAAAAAATATCCCCGATCCCAATTAATAATAATGGTAATGCTAATTGATAAGCCACTTCCTTGGAGTTTTTCTCAATGAGTTGTCTCTTCAAGATTTATCTCATTCTTTAGTTCTTTAGTCTTTTTTGAATGTGTCTCGTCGTGTTTCCCTCTGTGATTTTGGGATGCTAAAGTATTTGTAGTTGATATTTATGTTGTACTATATGCCCAGGGGCAGTTCCACTTCTTCACATGGAAAGCAATAGGCTGTAGTGTAAGGCCTTTTCTTTTTTTAATTAAGCCTATACTAAGGCATACAAAAGAAATCGTCCCCTTCATATGAGCTCTGGAACCTTGGAACCTCTCAAGTAATTCATTTGGTTGATGCATACATGTATCCATTTCAAATAAATTTTCATCAGTCCAGTGCCATTCGAAAAAAAAGATTTGAAGGAAGGATATCAAGGTGGAATGGTGCCAAATGTTTCATTAATCTACTTTAATCTTTGCAAAGATAAGCAAAAAAAAATCGACAAAAATTCAGAATTCAGAATTCCTAAACGAAAGAAAAACATTTTTATTAATAAAAACAATTATTTATGGAATTAGTGGAATGTTAGGGAAAATATTGGATTTTCAGGAAATACAATGTGGCGAAAAAAAATGAGAAAAAAATTTATAGGCAAAACAAAATTCTATTTGCATTTTTAAAAAAAATACTTTTAATAAATTTATAAGATATTTAATTTTTAGGAAAAGCAGTAAAATAACCTTTAGATTCTAATTCTTTTCGCTTTTTAAATCTTCTGAAATAATCCTGAATCAGAAAAGTAGCATAGAATTTTCCAACAGTAACATCATCGTCTCCTGCAAGTTTAAATTAAACCACCTATTAAAAGTAAAATTTCGCTAAAACATTGAAAAAATCAATTAAAATTAATATACAAAACAGAAATTGAAAATTTATATTCCGTTAAATTTAGTATATTTAATTAATAATAGCGATAACTGTCATAGAGTCAAACAAATTGGATTTTCAGGAAAAACAAATTGAAACAAATTATCGGTTGCTCTCGCCATCTATACTACTCGTAGTTTTAAAAATAAATCAAGTAAAATTAACTATTTCACAATTCCGCGATTTCACTATTTATCGATACAAAGGTATTTTTAATCATCAATTCAGACATATTACTATCGCTATATTTGCTTGATTTTCAACGGAAGTAAAAAATTATATTTAAATAACTCTTATAGGAAAGGCGAAGAAAAGAAAATGTGAAAGTAAACAGCAGGTGGAATAATGGAATTTATTGTTGAGTTACTTAAAACGAATTATTACGAACGAAACGAATTAAAACGAATGAGAATTATATATACAGCAAAAAAATGATAATTTGCATGATCTCCTATCAAAAAAGAGCTGGAATGGCTTAATGGAATGTTGCTTTCATTTTGCTCCGATTTTACTCCTAGCTGAAGTAAATTTGTCTTGCGAAAATTTGAAGAAGCTTGCGATCTACCTATAATTCTCTGGCAAAATTTGTTTGTCCGGTGAATTAGTAGAGCGAGCATAACTAGGAATGGTGATTATCTGCAGAAAAAAAAGTTAAAAAATAAATGGCTAGCTCATTTCTGGTTAGGCTACCAGCGGTTATTAAAATCTTCTAACAGCTCTCATTATTACTGGTTAACCTAGCTCCGCTGACTACAAGGATTTCCATGCTGTACGATCTGATGCCATGGCCGATAGTAATAGAAATCATTCCTTTTTCCATCGTCAAAGTCCATATATTGCTAGAACATTTATACATTCAAAATCTATCCTAACTGTACCGATCCATTTAAAACAAAAATGATTTTGCAAAAATTTAAATGAAAACTGAATAATAGCTCGATATTCCTAAAACCTATAAATATTTTAAAGAAAGAAAAACTTTTTTCTCTAACTATGTTACTTTTACTTATGGGATTTTAGAATTTAAATGTGAAATTTGGAACCAATTTTTTTAAAATAAGAAATAAATCGTTCTGTTTCGTAAGGTGATCTCCCTACAACTTCTGTGGCTCCCTAAATATATTAATCTGCGTTGAAGATCATTGATCATTGTCCACTCGATTGCCCTTCTTCCTATTTTCTAACTAAAAAGCATTTTTTCCGCTCAAGGAAGAATAAAAGAATAACAGCCTATTACTGTTTTAGACTGAAAAAATCGATGATTAATTGAAATTAAAATCAGATTTCCAGATCTAATAATTGAAATTAATGGAGCTCATCTCTAGGACTCAGTAAACAAGTTATAACTGATCGCATATCATTAGAATAATCTGCCTTTCGATATGGTACCTTCTCATTTTGCATTTTCAGTAAACAATTTTAAAACAAAGCTAAATTACATCATCCACAATATTATTTAACAGTTGATAGGTTAGCCGTATAATTTCAATATTCTCTATTTTATAGCTATTTTATATAAGGTTGGAAGTCCGAAACCGGATAATGAAAAAGTCGAGAAAAAATGAAAGGTAATTCCGATATTTTAACATCCTATATTCACTGAATTCATTCACCGTAATCAACAAAATTTATTGACAAAATTTTAGAAAAAATTCGGAACAAAGATTCCTTTCTACAACAAATTCCAATTTATGTTAATTCTATTATTATTTGTGTACTCAAATAATTAGAGAAATATAGATTTGCTGATTATTTTTATTCTTATTTTTATTTTTATTTTATTCTTTACTCCCTTTTCTCATTTAATTATTGAACTATTTTATTTTTTTTTATATGTTTCTTGTTTTTGACACGAACACATGTCGTTATGCTTTGCTTGATTTCTTCGAAAAATATGCATATAAAAGTATAGTATAATTCAGTAAAGCATAATTTTTTTTTATTATTGCAAGATAAAAACAAAAATCAGACGATCTTATATTTTTAAACTACTATGAGCTGTCAAACTTTAGAACATAAAATTGCTTAAGGAAAGAGGAAAATAAGAAAGATAAGTTCTGTTACCGCCCGAAATTCATTTCTGAATGAATTTGTCATTTAAAGCGAAAGAAACTAAACCTATGATATTTGCTCAATTCGATGTACCAATTAACTATTCTTTAAAATAAAATAAGGTAATAAATATTGTGGGTCTTCGAGTACTTGATGATTCTAACTAATCTTCTATTCTTATATTATTAGCCAAAAAAATCTCTTTCTCAATCTCTGTGGGTGATAGTGATCATCCTCAACCTTGGGCTCTTTAAAAGAGGTCTGGGAAATTGAGACATTCTTGTCGCTTGGCATTGCTTTATCCATCACCAGTCCTGATTTCTAATTCTTATAGATACCAACTACTTTTATTGCATGCTTACTGTTGGCATTTTACATCCTGCCACTATCTGTTAGGCACTTTCTGGGGATTTTTTGCATTTTGTTTTTGCGTCCTGTATCTAATGTTCCATATTTTTTCGATGCATCTACTTAGGTCTTATTCTTATGCTCCTATCATCATTGTCTAACAGCAATGTCTTTTAGTCCAGCATTTTCCAGTAACTAGATTTTTCTATGTCAGCTACTTCAGTTGTCTGACGATGATGCAACTCATGGATGGTCTTTCTTTGCCATATCAATATTTGAGATAAACTATATATATATATATATTTATATAATAGGTTGGTTGGCTAATTCTTATTTGTTCTTGTGGAACCAGAATAGCCTGCCATTAAACGGGCTATTGGAATAAACCTTACATGGAAGAGACAAGATAATCTGGAATTGACGGAAAACCACTATAATAGTAGACCTAATCAAAGGTGTTATATGAAACGTATGAAAGCATTGTGGATAGAAAAGGACCTACATTTAAAAAAAAAAACAGTTATTGAGAAACAATTAATGGCTCACTATTTCAATGTAATAAAAAGAAAAATCCTTTCCCAGTTGGAGATGAATCAATTCTGCTCCATAGCTCAGACCCAGAATGTTCAAAAGGAGGAGAAGAAAAAGGAGAAACAAGCTGGAAGCTGAAAATTGCCTTCCAATATTTCCGCTGCAAAGCAGAGCAGTTGAAATGAGGCAGAAAATCATGAATAAAATGGCTAATTAACTATCGAGATCGACTAATGAAGCTCAAATAATATATTTGAAGATGTAAATAGAGTTTTTACAGTTTTTACTATCTATTGCTTTGCTATTGTTATTATGATTTCTTCTTCTTTTAACAGCTCTCACCATTACTGGTTAAGCTGGCTGCAGTGGTTACAAGGGTAAGAAGTCTCCAAGACGCTCGGTCCGACGCCATTGCTTGTGGTAACAAAAGCCATCCCTTTTCCATCGTCTAAGTTCATATATCGCTGGTCCTCCTATATGTTCGAAATCTTTCCTAATTGTATCAGTCCAGGTCTTATTGGCTCTCCTCGCTTTTAACGCCAACCATCACAGAATTCGGCAAGTAAGAAAATAGGTGTCAACTTCTGTGGTGAGCGACGAAGAACGTGTCCTAACCAGCGAAGGCGACGTTTTGTAATAACATTATTAATACTGATGGTGTCGCGAAATACGATATTTTTTCTAAAATTATTTCAATCTGGTGACCCTGACTCGCCAAAAGAAAAAAAACTTTCATTAATTTAATAGTCTTTATGCTTATTCCACTTCGTATGTCAATAAAATATTAAAGTGAATTATAATATATTGTATATTCCTTTCAAGAAAATTATTTTCTTAATTAGGAGCGGTCAAGGGATCCAAGCGATTGGATCCCAATATTTAGATATCGTTCATTTTTTGTTGTTTTATCCTTTATCCTTTTGTTCATTTCTTTTGTTTTGCCTTTTAGTCTATAATTTTGATCGAATATTGTTTTTTCTATCTGTGTATTAATGAGCTTTAATTACCCAAGTTTGAGATGGCGAATAAAAATTTTTATTAATTCGTGCAGTGATCAGTACTTCTTCTTGATAAAATAGCAGGATAAAGCCGGATATTAAGGTTATTCTAAGATAAATAGTGCGTAATAGGCGAGCATCATTCCACTGCTTTCAATCATTATTTTATATTTTTTACACGTGGTATTTGAGCGAAGATGAATAGAATCATGTGCGATTTTATTCACTCGATGGTCCAGTAAAATGTATTTTAGATATGGTAGACATGAATGGCCAAAGGCTGATAGCCTCTTAATATCCTCCACTCTCATTGGCCATATTTTGCAGCCATATAGCAAAATCGAATTGCGGCTTTATAGATGCGGACTTTCGTTTTGATGGTGACAGCTCCATAAAAGTCTCGTCAATCGGAAGCATTTTTAGCTATCGTTATTCGGAATATATTTCTCTTTTGCCTGGGGATGTTAGAGTGGATCTAAGGTATTTAAAATCGAGCATTTTCTCAACCGGCAGTGAATTTATAAAAAGAGGTATTCTATAAGCTTCTTATATTTAAGACGAAAAGACCTTTCGTTTTATTTCAATTGATTTTGAGTCCAATTCTCACTACAGTTATTGACATGGTATTTAGGATTATTTGCATTTCGTCATGATTGTCAATAAAAAGGACTATATCATTCAGCATATTCAAGATTTGTTATATGATGCTCTGGACTAATTTGTACTGAAAAGCATGTTTCTTATTTAATCTATCGCATAATTGATTATAGGAGAAAGAACGCAGCTCTGACGGACGCCAGTTCTTATTTCGAAGAAGTCTGTCAGTTCCCCATAGATCTATGCCAAGGTATGCTGATAAGATGCCATTATGAGCTGAATGATCTGAATGATCGTCTCTGGGATACCATCACATTCTATCACTTTCCAGAGCGCTGCTCTATCAATCGAATCGAAGGCAAAATCGATAAAACAAATGATGATGGGTCGCTGGTATTTGAAATGATGTTCCAACACCCTTTTTAACGTAAATATCTGGTCAATACATTCGCGTCCCGGAATGCAGCTTAGTTAGGACATATTCTGCTATCTCGTGTTGCCATGAGTCTATTTAGCAGAAGGGAAACAGAAAGTTTTCCGGAGATGTGCAGTAGGCTGATTTTTCGGTAATTGTCGCAACACGTCCTGTCAACTTTCTTAGGAATTGGGCCCAGAATTGCTTTGCTACAATCTTCTGGTATTATTTCCTATTATCATACCAGAGAATATATTTGTTGAAGGTGAATTATTGTCACTATAAGAAAAACTAATGAATTACTATAATGAATCAGTGTACGCCAAAGCCACTGTAATTCTCGAAATGCTGGGGTAATATCAACAAGAATAATATTGCAATTCACTTATGGAAAAGGAGGCTGGAAAATAAGATTCAGAGTAAAAAGTATGCAAAGAAATTAGCCAGCTAGCAGAATTATAGAAAGGGGCGTGAAGAATAAAAATAGTATCCGGATGCTGCGAAAATACAAAGCTATATCTGATCAGAAGCTCTCGAGATTGTTAAACAAAAGCATTGGCAACTAGGCTGAGGAGTCACATTAGAGAAGCAGAGGCCAAAAAATGCCCTGTTCTCCAAGGAATTGTCCAAGGTATCTCAACTTCAGTACAGTTATATAATATAACAACAGAGCCAACAGAAGAAACTATACAATGCTGGAAGAATGTATGTGGGAAACAGAAGGTTCATAACACTAATGCAAAATGGCTGAAGATCTGTATAAATCACAACAACTTTCCACAGCAGAAACCACCTACCGTCATAATTACTGACATCCATTAGCGACATAAAAATATGAAAAGTTAGACACCACCTGGCCCGATTCACACCTACTGGCTAAAGAAGCAGTTCACAAGCGCTTAACAATATAGATGAACCAGGTGATTGCGGCAGGCTCTCATATAACTGGTTAACATAAGGAAGGTATGATCATGGAAAACCCCCATAAGGGAACAATACTGTGCAACTACTGATCAACAGCTTTTCTTCAGTCCTATCAGGTATTATAGCCATCAATCTTCATGACCATACGAACCAGAATATGAATGTAGTTTAAAAAGGCATTGGGAACAACCTTAGTATGCCAGAGGCTCCAAACACCGGATGCTCATAGATAAGGTCACTCAAATTGCTCAAAACTCAAAATCCTCCTGACATACCAATCTGCATAAAGCTTGGATTGATTATAGGAAAGATTATGATTCAATGCCCCACACATAAATTTGTGAATGTCTGGCTCTGTAAAAAGTCAAGAGGACTCTAAAGGCATTCATTGAGAATAATGGGACTGTGGAAAACGACAGTGCATGGCCTCCCCTATTGTTCTATATTAGCTAAATCCTTCCTCAGTCAGATAATCAGGATGCAAATTAAAAGCGGAAACTACTGTCACTCATCTTTTCTACATAAGCAAAAGCAAAAAATGAACGAGACATTGACTTGCTCATCCATCTAATTCGAATATAAAGCGAGGGCATTGAGGACTTTGTCAATCGGATTAGAAAAATATGGCCAAGTTAAAGGGAAGTATCAACGAGAATGAAAGTAGCAATGACATACTACGAACAAAAGGCCAAGTACCTTGGTATTCCATAGTGATATGGTAACCACGATAAGGAGGCAACGAAGATTCCAATATCTAAGTTAGACACCACCTGGCCCGATTCACACCTACTGGCTAAAGAAGCAGTTCATAGCAGTTTTAATTTTTTAATATTAACAAAAATTTAGAATATAAAATATAAACTGCAGAACTGCAGCAAAATTTCTCAGAAGAAGCTGTTAATAAAAATAACTAAATTACTAAACGGTGATATAAGTGATTAACCAATGAAAGAAAGAAAAAGTAATATGAAAAGAAATGAAAGGATAAGACAAATCTTGAAGAGCCAACTCAATAGGAAGAACGAAATCCGTGCCATAAATATGTACGCCCTGCCAGTCATTAGGTATGCAGCTGGCGTTGTAAGATGAGTAAGGAAGAACAGAACACTTTTGATAGACACTAAAGATCGGAAAATCCTCATAATGCAAGGAGATTTCCACCCCACGTCCAACTTAAAAGATGTATAGCAACCGGAAAGAAGAGCTTGGTGTCGCGAATAGCGAACAAAAAAATAATAAAATAAATTCTTCAAATAAATGTTATGAATCAGGTTACTAATCTCACATTCCTAAGATCATTTTTTTATGTTTTTGTTATCTTGATTTAACAAATTCTAATATTCCTTTTTTTACATAGCCTTTTATATAGCCAAAAAAACTAATTCGCATGAGAAATCCTTTATCTTGTAAAAATCTTATTACAATTTATGCCATAATCAAATTATTATAGTTTTTTTTGTGTGCATATTTGTTTGAATATTTGTTGCATACCATTCCCACTAAAAGTTTTTATGTAAATCAAAGTTCATATATATGTGAAATGAAAACTTAAATGCAATCTCAACTTCTGGTTCAGCTCGTCGAAAGTTTTTATTCTTGGACTTTAAACTAATCAAATTCATCCTCCCCGGTCAATTTCCACCTGATCTAACCTTAAACTGCGCCAAATCCATTCTCCCTAGTCTACTTTCTCCATACTTGGTGAGTTTGAAATCTATCTTGAACAAAATTCAAAGAAATATAACAGCAAGATAGCATCAAATTACGGAATGCTGAGAGAATGTCTGAAGCATGGAAAATGATCAAGCAGAGGAAATATCATGGCAAAGCAAGGCCCTCCATGGATTGCACCATCGACAGCTAGCTGAGATAGCTTAAATTATGAAATCCTATCAGTGGTTAAAGAAAACCACTGATAAGGCAATGAATTATTTGAAATATTTCCAAATTTGAAGTTGTTACAATAATTTGAGCCTAAATTTATTTGATAAAATTATTTTTTGGGATATTTATCTTTAATGAGATAAATCGTTAAAACTGAGGCATTGATTATAATAGCACAAGAACAAGCACAAAGCACCAGATCCATCGATAAGGATCTACCACATAAGACAAGATTATAGGTGCAGATTATGTAAAATATCCCAGAAACAGTCTAACACAAGAATATCTGCTTGCCATTTGGCTTAGACCCTTCTAAGACTAAATAGGAGATTTCTTAGAAAGTCGTAAGAAAATAATAAAGATCCTTGGGACTTTTCCATCTAAACAAACAAATAAGCTAACCAACCAGATATTGTGGTAAGATAAGAATTAGAAATCAGGACTGGTGATGGATAAAGCAATGCCAAGCGACAAGAAGATCAGGGAAAAGAAATATAAGAAGTTAGAAAAATATCAAAGGCTAAAAGAGAACTAGGGAAGATGTGGAAAGTAAAGGTCAAAGTGATTCCAGTGATAATTGGAGCACTTGGAAGTGTGATTCCTAAATTAGAAAAGTGGTTTCAGCAGATTCCAGAATCAGAGGTCTCTATCCAGAAAAGTACACTATTAGGAATATCTATGATGCGCAAAACCCTCAATCTCCCAGGCCTCTGGTAGAGGGCCCGAGATTGAGGATGATCGTGGCCACCTAAAAGAGAATGGGAAAAATTTTTTTCAACATTTTGTTGATATCTATGAATAAATAAATTCAATCATATTAACCGCTTTTTGTCATATATCTTTATTAGTTTATGAATTAATTAATTTTCCATAATTGTTTAGAAATACTAAACTCAGGGCATATCACAATTGAATGTTTCCTAATTAAATGAAATAAAAATTCTTCGACAGAACTGAGATAGAAGTTTAAAATCGGCTAAACTTATTAACTGATAAAGGGATTAAGAACAATTTTTGTTGAGCAAACGATTATGAAGATCGCAAAAAATTTGGAAAATGATAAAAAATCTAAAGCAATTGTCCGTTTTTAGGATAATAGGATAATACAATAGTCATTAAATAATATTCATAATTTTTCTTTTAAATGATTTAATATTTCTTAAATATAGAACTATAAATAACTTAAAATTGTGGTTTGTAAGCAACATAAAATTTTTTTTAAAGCTCATCAGGAGCTATTGCCATTCTTCTCCTCGAAGGCCTAAATTGTAATTCTTTGGATGTTTCTAGAAAAATATTTCTGAAAAAATAAAGCAATTTAAAAAGTGATAAAATAAGTAAGTAAAGTATTTTAAAAATTAAGACAATTAAAAAAATAAAAGTAGAACAGCGGGAAGAATTGGAAAAAAACTGACGTATCTTTTTGTGCTAATCAACAAACGAACCATGAGCACCAAAGCTGATTAAAAATTAAAATTTTAGATTTACTCTTAAATCTTGGCGACTCCAAGAAATATGGCATCCTTGGCCTGTCGTCTAATGTCCTTTTCATTTGAGCCGGAGAAGAATTATGTAATATTGGGATAAAAGAAAGACCGTCAGTTTGACAGCACTTAAATAAAATTTAAATAAAGTTTGAATTTTCATTAATGATCAAAGATCTTTTGCTTAAGGAAATTGAAAATATAATTTTGCTATTGCAAATATTTTAAAATGTGAATAAAATAACATAGAATAAAACCTATTAATAAAAATGAATTTCGAAAATTCTTCCCTAAAAATTTCATTCAACATTTAAAAAAAGCATAAATTATTTTTAGGAGAACGAAATGGGTAGTGGTTTAAATTACAATGTTGAGAGCCAGGAGTCCCGCTTCTACCGCCGATAAATCATTTAAAATTTGAATGGTGTTGGCGACCCATCTGCATTTTTGTCACCAAGTAACTAGCAAAAATTTATAATCGTGCTAACAATTGATGGAAATTAACCTGAAATGTTGTGCACTAATCACCTATTTTTTCTACTTTTTTTTGGAACTTTTCTCAATAATAACTGTAAATAGTTTTTCAAAGAATCAATGATCTTAATTTAAATAAAAAATTTCAGTTAAAAATTTAATCTTTATTTTCAGTGAAATCAACTAAAACCCATTATAAATGGGAGATTTCCCTTGTGGGACATTATTTATGACCAATTGTAACTAAATATTAAACTCCTCGATCTATTTTTCACTGAATTCTTAATTTATCAACGAATCATTTAAAACTATTAAATGAAAGAAATAAATTTAAAGATAAAAGTAAACTATTTCGTTCTATTTAATTTGCTTGGAAAATAATAAAGGGAAATATTTATTGGAATGAAAATAATTCGTGAGAAAAGAATATTTTTAGTAGAAACATCGATAAATGGATATTTATGAAAAACATTCTTTCAAAGCTAAATAAACTATTTACAATAATAACACAATTTTTGATTAAATATCTAAGAAAACTTGAAAGATACAGTAATTGCAACATAAAAATATGAGTAGTGAAGGTTACTGCCAATTGCAATGCAACAGATATGATTAAACGAAGAAATTCTAAATTTCATATAATAAATAGGTAATGGATTAGCCAAAAAAATGAAAAAAATTTAGTTTAAGCAATTTATGAATTTCCTTGCTGGCAATCTGTTGGTACTCAAGGAATAGGATTATACGGAACTGGTAGATGTCAAAGCAATTCATCAAGTTTCGCACGGATATAGAAGGTTTTAAAGCAATATAGCAAGTTTTTAGGAAACATCAAGAGGTATGCCAAGGTTTGAAGACAATTCTGCCTATCCTTATGACGGATCTTTTAACTAATATAATATAAAAGGAAGATAAAATGATGATCGAAATGCCGAGGGAATCGATTAAAAATTATAAGCTACCAACTTAAACAATGAAATCTATATTGAAAAGTATTTTTTGCCAAATGAAAAGCGATCATATTGAATCATTGATGGTAATCGGATTTTGAAAATTCAATAGAATTTAATGGAAATTTTCAACTTAAAAAAAACTATTTTCAACTGTTAAAATATTTAAACAATAAACAATTTAATAACTGAAAATAATGACTAAAGGGAGTACCATTTTTTGGAAGAAAAAAGGATGACGATGAATATTCGATGAGAAACCCATTTCCCCACATTCATTTCTTTTTTTCTTCTTTACAATATCTAATTCTCATGGGTTTTATATCCATTAAATATCCGCAAATTCATGTTATTTTTCGATAATCCAACCAGTTAATAAAAATTACAAATAGTCCATTATCAACAAGCATATTTTTTGTGCGACATGTTTCAAAATATTTCATTTTTAAAAGTTTTAATTTATTTAAACGATATAATAAGTGGACCATTTCTGGTTTGGCTAACGTTTCACTGGCTGTTTGCATAGTTAGAAATTTTTGCCACTTGATGAAATCTTTTTTTCAAATTTCTTCACCATTACTGTTTATACTCGCTCCACTTGGTCTGTCGCATTGGGCAATATACCAGGGAGACCCTTTGCGATAGAAGTACAGATAAGTCACCAGAATCACCAGGATTTTTGGACAGGTTTATTCCTGCAGGGAATCGAACCCCAGCATCAGTACTCTCAATTGAGCAAAAACCCACTGGACCATTCTAGTTCCTGATAAAGTAACGATAAAATAATCACAAAAAGTAATAAAAGGTCAGGATGCAAATGAGCCCCAAGTACCATACAGATTTTTTGATGATTTGATAACAAAATCCGAATCCTTGACTATCAACATGATAATCTAATTACCCTTTCCGCCACCGAAATCCACGAGATATTTCTATCCAGAAAAAATCAAAAAAATACTTTATTTTCTACCCAAAATACGTAGAAAATATATTTTTCACAAGCAAACAAATTATTAAAAACATTCATTCCATTCTATTTTATTTATCACTCACAAATTTTGCAAAATATGCAATAATTATCATTCTTTTATTTAATCTTAAATAATTCTAACCATTCAATTTTACATAATCATTTTCGCTTCTAACAGCATTCATTTTTCGTTTGGCCGATTTAACTAACTGTTAGTATCTTCTTCTTCTTCTAACAGCTCTCACCATTACTGGTTAGACTGGCTCCAACGGCTACAAGGGTAAGACGCATCCAAATGGCGAGGTCTGATGCTATCGTCGATAGTAATAGAAACCATTCCTTTTTCCATCGTCTAAGTCTATATATTGCTGGTCCACCTATTGCTGTTCTTTTCAGTCCAGGTCTTGATTGGCCCACATCGCTTTTGACGCCAACCATCACACAGTTTAGTAAATGACAACTAACAATTGTTAGTATGAAACCCTTTTATTCGAAAATCACTCATGGATATAATTAGGCTCTCCTCACCACTTGGATTCCACTTTTAATGATGTTTACTCCGTCATGAAACGGAATTATGCTTAATCCCAATCGAGGTCCCCTTATTAATTTTCTACCATGAAACATCAAATGTGTATCAAATAATATCTAAATTTTACTGTAAGGAAACAAACCATGAAAAAGAAATTAATAACTTGTAATAATTTTGATGTTGTCCGTGGAACCTGTTAAAGCAGGGAATCCTTTCCAACATTTTCCTAGTTTAGGGATCCTCATAATACCACTGGAACTAATTTGGTCTTCATTTCCTGTATCTTCTTTAGTTCTTCTTTCAGCCCTTGGCATTCTTTTAGCTTCTCATGTTCCTTCTTTTTATTTATCACCAGTGATTTCTGGTTGTTGTTTACTATTACGACATCTGGTTGATTTGTAATATTTGTTTGCCTATCTGGATGAAGAAGTCCCATGGGATCTCCGCCTTATTATTCACGATTTTCTGAAGAATCTTCCATCTAATCATATAACGAGCAGATCCTGTAGACAGTGTTACTTCTTAATTATGTCTTTCAGTGTATGCTTGTGTTTTACCTGCCACTATGTAGCTTTTTTGCATAATCTGCACCTTAAGTCCTGTCGCTTTAAATCCTTGCTTCCAAGTGCTCAATTCATATATATCTGCTCCTATGATCAATGCCTTAGAGCAATGTCTTTTGGTCCAGCTTTTTCCAACCACTGGAAGAATTCTTAATATTATCTACCTCAGCCATCTATCGATGTTACATCACATAAAAAGCCATTTGTCATTTTTTAACTTTTTTTTAACTTTTTTAACATTTTTTTAACTTTTCTCCGGTGTCCTTAAACGCTGATGCTTCAGGTAAGGAACTCTTTGGTGTCATCTTGCTGATTGCTTCGAATTTAGCATAGCTTCGCTTTGACACTCACCAAGTCTATCCATTTTTTTCGATTGGTGTTGGACTTGGTCCTTGCAATGTGAGAAGTTTTCTGGTCTTCACATCATGATCCTCCATGTCTTCCTTTTACTATCTTTGCGTATTTGACGGCTGGCAATGCATAAATATATATGGCGTGGAATTCGTTATTCTTTGTTGGTATTTAAAAATTAATAATGTCTAACTTGCCTCTTCATCGTGGTACCCGTATGACTGTAGAATACTCAGGTACTTTAGTAAGTCTGTTTATTATGAGTAATTCCATTCCATCAATCATAGCCATTTTCCTTCTCTTTATTACCATTCAACGTACTTTTTCTAAATGATCTCAATGTCCTCGCTGTATTAAATGAGTATACAAATCTATGTTTACTTGATGTCATCCATATAGCTGATAGCTGATAGCTGATGATATGTTCTTAAACTTGTATTCGTATCCATTTCTCTTGACTCTGATTTAGGAGAATTAGGCCTGTACAAAAAGTAGTAGGGACAGTGTGCTATTTTAATGTATGCCACACTTAATAGCCAGTTGTTGACTTCGAGTGTCGGTTTTAATAGTCCCATTAAGTTACCGATGAATTATCCTGTTCACAGACCAATGTATGGTATTAAGTCATAAGATTAGTCCAGGATGTGCACATTGAGAATGATTTGTCAAGACCTTGAGCGATTGCTTTATCTGTAAGCAGCTGATGCCTCTGATGTTCTTGTCGATGCTTTTTTCTGCACGCATAAACTGGTTCATATGGTCTTATAGCCTAATAACTATGATGCCTGGTACTTTCCAAGCTGTGAGGAGACAGATTATTGGTCGATAGTTGGATGAAATTGTCCTTTTATGGAAGTCTTTGATGATCAGTACCTTCCTTGCTAATTAAAGCTATTACTAGTAGTGCACTAAAATTTGTTTCTGTTATTGTGATGTAACAATTGCTGTGAAGGCTCTGTTCGCATCTTCAAATGTATGGTTTGGTTCACTGACCGAGGTAAGTCTTGAAGGTTAATTGTAACCGATTTATTCATGATTTTTTGCCTCACGTCTGCTCTTCTTTGAAACGTAAATGCTTGATCATCTTCAACTTCCCAAGTTGATTGATGCACATCGCGTTTTTCTTTCTATTTGTTATTGGATCTGGGATTTAGTAACAGAGTGCACCTCATGTTGAAATAACAGCTTTTTTCTATTTTGAAGCTTTGGGCGACTAGATGTTCCTCACTTAATGTGGACAGATCGTTATTCTTTGTTGGTATTTAAAAATTGCTGTCTAACTTGCCTCTTCACCGTGGTACCCGTATCTTTTTTCCATCCGCAGTTCCTTCATACATCGCCTATTTCATACATCTCTTTTCATTTGCTGTAGTAGCATTCCATCAATTCGAGATTATCTTGTATTTTATATATATATATATATATATATATACATATATAATTTGTATAATTTGTAAACTATGAATTTGTTTGATTGAATATGGATTTAGATCGTAAAACAAAAATTTAGACTATACAATTTAAAAAATCCATAATGATAAATAAATTAGCTAAATTATCAATTCCATTTCTTCAACAACTTTTCTTTACTTCGATTATTTCAGTAAAACTGCATGAAATGAATATAAAATAATAAAAATATTTAATAAAAATATTATGAAAGCGAGAATTTACTTACTTCCTGCTGGTGGGACAACTTCATCCAACATTTTTTGTGGTGTGCGTTTCCATATTCTACGTATAGCTGAACGCAGTTGTTCATTAACTTCATCGATATTTCCTTCCGTATATATTTTTAAATTCGTTCGTACAAGTGCAAATAATGTGGCATTAAAGCACACTGTTCCATCTGAATTCAGTGGCATATTCATGGAAACCAATCGCTAAAAACTATTATTATTAATTTAATAACAAGGAGTAGCTACATTCAAGAAATGAAAAAGATACATCGCTTTTATATAAATCCATTTAAGATGGGCACTTGGTTTATTGCTTCAAATGATGCCAACCGCAGCAAGCTTGTCATTAAAAATGAAATGCATGTGAAGATGAAAACCATATTGAATTTCTATGTGATTTTCACAAGTGATTTTCTGGTGAAGGAGCTTCAATTTAATCAATCCAGCCGACCAAACCAAAATTAGTGAATGCTATTAGAAAAATTCTATTCAAGATAGGCTGCAAACAAAAAAGCCAGATTTTTTATGTAAATTGGCAAATTGGAAATGTAAATTGAGAATAAAAACCTTGCATGCAAGGCGATGAGGACACAGTTTTCCAAATCCTAATGGAGGTGATATTTTTCGCAGCAAAGTGACAACATCTAAATGTTTAATACGTCCTTTGGCATCTGGGTCATATTCAGACCAAAGGCGTACGAATTCTTCAAGATGATGTGGGCCTAATATACTCCAATCTCGTGTCAAATAGTCAAAATTGTCCATAATAACTGCGACAAATAAATTTATAACCTAAATGAGTCTTTTTTGATTTGAATGATGATGTTCGACAAAATGTGATTTCGCCATTATGATAAATTTACTATATCCAGAATAATGAAAAAAATACTTGTTTATTCTATATTAACAATAAAAGCTTTATTTGAGAAAATTAGTCGCTTTTCGTAAAAGACTCAATAAAGTTCTGAAAAAAAAATAGTGAAACAAACCAAAAATGAGCAAAGCATGAAGAAAGATATAAAATAGGGATAGGCAAAATCGACACCACATCTTGCATCTACATTCTGCTTATATTCATCGCTTGCTGGATCACATTTCACTTCCTCTCGATCCGAACATGATAACATTATTTCCTGCCAAGCTTCACCGGTTGCTGATCTCAAACACTTTTGGATAAAAAATTTTGAAACCCATCTTGATTAAAGGGTATAAAATATTAAATTAATCACGCACTTATTGTATTAAAAGATCATTCTTCTTCTTGGTCTTTTTCTTGTTTTAAAAAAGAATGACAGACAGAATTACCTACACAATTGCAAAACAAATTACCGAAATAAAACAAGAACAGCAGCTGGGAAAGTATGGAAATTGTTATTGCGATGTATATGCGTCTCATCATTTAGTGCAATTTTACCAAACACCTAAAATGTCGAATTGTTATTTGAGAAATGAAAGGCTTTCTGCATAAGTATAAGTAAAATGATATTCTTGTTCATCAGTTAGGATATACAGTTATTATTGCAACAATTAAGAATTCAAGAATTTTTTTAATTTAGGGATCGATTGATAAACAGCCAATAAATCCGAATTTAATCCACTGATCTATAAGTTATTTATAAGGTGATAAAATAGTAATAGTAATAGTAATAGTTTCTTACTTGCATTCCTATAACAGCATATATGAAAAACAGAAGTACGATAAGTAATGCGACATATGGTAGTGCCTGAAATTATTGCAGTATAATATCCATTGCCAAGTTTTATTTTGGCTTATTTTACTTTTGGTATTTTTTCCTCTCTGTCTCCCATATGAAAATTTGATATCCACTTCTTTTCTAAGAACGAACGACTTAGAGAAGAATATGATCAATTATTTACTTTTCTTGAATTAAAAAGGACTGACCTGAAAACTTTTCATAAAAGTCCATAAAAGAGTACGAATACCTTCTCCTCGACTTAGCAACTTTACTAAACGCATAACTCGAAATAGTCGAAAAAAGTTAATACTAATAATATTTGAGCCTGGTGATAGTTTTCCATAAATTATATCAATAAACGAACCCAAAACAATAATAAAATCAAATGCATTCCACCTAAAAATAATTTTAACGCTACCAAATTTTATGAATCAAGGGTTTTATTTTTTCGATAAAAGTCAGATATAAGATATTGTCAGGAAAATGATGAAGAATATAGGTTTATCCAAGGATACAGGTTTTCTTCATAAATCTATTATCCTTAAGCCTTATTCTCTTATGTTCGAATGGCATTCGTATGGACACAACATTAAAAACAAATATGTAAAAAAAAAAATAGAGAAGTACACATAATACTTTTTCATAAAAAATATGTTGACTAAGAAGTTCATTTTTTTGTTAGCTTTCACTGATTTAATGAAAAATTCTTTTTCTTTATTAACAGTGGATAAAGGGGCCATGAGAGCAAAAAATTTAGAGCCATTGCACTAAAAAATAGTCGCCTCTATTTCCGAAGATTTGTTCGATAATATTGTATATAACAAATGAAATATTTATTTCAACAAAAATAAATTGGCAACATCACTCTGATTTTAAATTTTGAATCTTCAATAAATCTTCAGTAGATGAATAAATGAAATCAAAAAAATTTGAATAGACTGAAAATTGACCGCTAAAAAACCAGACTATACGAAAAGTCTTCCCAACAATTCAATTATTGCAGTAAATAAACCTATCTTGAAAAATAACTCCCCAGCAAAATTTACTCAATCCTATCCACAATTCAAAAACCAGCAAAAAGAGGTACCAGTAATATGACCACAGTGATGCTCCTAGAAAAAAAACAAACCTGTCACCAAAGTAATTCTTAGGATTGAGTGCAATAATTTTGAATAAAGCTTCCAAAGCGAATACTCCCGTGAAGATTAAATTAAGCACATCGAGAATGTGGTCCATCCCTGGGTCAGGTGGATAGTGCTTCATTGCTAATGTTGTTGTATTGCAAAGTATTATTATAAAAATGACATATTCGAAAAACTGGGAGGTGACAAACCACCAAACTCGATATTGAAATCTATTACGAGGAATATATCTTCGATGTGGTTTTGCTTTTAATGCAAATTCGATGCATTTACGCTGAAAAACACCAACACAAAAATACTTTAGAGATCCATCTTATCTTAAAACAATTTTCTACGAAAAATAGGTAGATAAAAACTTTCTTAAGAATTATTTCTTTAAATGGAAGGAGAACCTGATTCTTATCGAGTTCGCAATTTTCATATTCTCGTTCACCTTCATTTTGAAATGTGACAATAACGAAACCGACAAAAATATTCATCATGAAAAAAGCAATAACGACAATAAATGTGATAAAAAATAAAGCAACTGCTTGACGAGCATTATATACTGGGCCCCGATCCTCTTCATTCGAGTTTATCGCTACGTATAATAGACTATAAATTTTCAAGCTTTTATTTATGGAGATATATCTGTTCAAGGCAGAGATAGCTAAGTGGTATGGCTGCTTCGATTCGCTTCGCGCACAGCTATTTTGATTCTCTGCACAGAAAGGAGTCAACGCCGTTGCCAGTGGGAGTCACTTAATCAGAAATTGTGAGTGCTATCCATTTATTTAAAATTCATACTCGCTAGGGCAACACATAAAAAGATGGTATTTCAAACGTGCGATTTTTTTGACTTTACATATACAACATTCTGTACAAGCGACTTACTCAGGCCATCCTTCGAATGTTGAAACAACGAAGAGCGAAACCATTGCATCGACGACATTATCAAAGTTGAAGTCGTTCTTTGTCCAATCTCGTCGCATTCTTTGTGGTTTCATTGGATCTCCATCTTCATACGCCAGGAATTCCCCTCTTAATTTTTTCGAATTCATATAGAAATTTATAAAATTAAAAAGCTAGGCAAATATTTTGTTCAAAATACCAGAATTTCATAATTTTTATTCGTACCTTTAGGTTTTTAGAAATCCAAAAAATAAAAAATGAGATGATAATGAACAAAAAAAAATTTATCGTATTAACAAGTACCTGCATTCTTGTTCGGTCATTTTGGACTCATCATTACAACGGAAGAAAGTACCTTTGAATAATTGTACACCAATAATGGCGAACATAAACTGTAGCATAAATGTGACCAGCATTATATTACCGATTGTTTTCACGGCAACAATTACGCATTGTACAACATGCTGAAATTTACAAAGCAACATTTATTAAATTCAATGTTATTAATTCATTGCTGGTGCAATTTATCACTCATTAAGTAATTATTATTTTAAGTGGTGCTGACGAACTATCGGCCTTTGACTCTTTGGCAAAAAGATTTTTTTCCACTGGATCCAAAGATTTTTGATGCTTCGGTGGCTTAGAGACAAGGAAATTGCAAACAAGAATGATTTGGGTTCGAATTCGACCGACGCATCACTTTATTGATGTTACAAACAATATCGCCGAAACATGAAGGTAGGGTGGGAAGAATGGCTCAATGGGTTGCCCAGTTCAGAATGCTGATGCTAAATTTCCATGCCCTGTGAATCAATCAAAAGTATAAATGCTGACGATCTATCTATACTTTTATCGCCAACTCTCTGGTAGAATTTATCTTGTCCGACAAGCCAGCTGAGCGAAGCTAATTAGCAATGGTTAAGACTAAAAAAAAATATTTATATTTTTTATATAATATTCAGCAACTAGCCAAACCAGAAATGGTGAGTCCTATTATAAGCAGAAAACGATTTTCATTAGCAAAAAATTTTTCTTCTGAACCATATCAACAATCTTATCTTTTCATACGTTCCCTGTTTATAAGATTGGTTTTTTAATTATATTAATATGTAGTTATGTAGTTAAAAATTCTTCTTACCTTAAGCCCTTTGGCTCGATTGATAGCTCTAAGGGGCCTTAACACTCTTAAGACTCGAAGAATTTTAACCACAGATATTGCATCTGATTTGAGCACGAATGAGACAAGTGAAACCGCAACAACAAGAATGTCAAGCAGATTAAATGCATTGCGACAAAATGATCCTTTATGTAAAACCAAGCCAAAGACCACCACTTTAAGTGTGATTTCCACTGTGAACACCGTCGTAAAAAAATAGTCAAAATAGTTTAGTATCTGCAAAGTAGCATCAAGAAATTTTAAATTTCTTGACGGGTTCGATCAGAAAATAACTGCAAATTTTTCTCACTTTTCTTGAGAAAATTTTAGAATTCTAGAACTTTTAAAATTATCTGAAAGTTTCACATAAAATCGTTGGAATAAATTCGATTAAACAAAAATTTGAAAGATAAACTGAAGCATTTAATAATGTTATGCGTTTATAAAGCTCACCGTATTTCGAGGAGACTGAGCATCTAATGGATCTTCAGCAGCTAACATGGCACTAGATACGAGGATGCAAACCAGAACGCTATTTGTAAAATAAGAATGATTGACTATTTTATTACAAAATACCCTGCAAAATAAAAACTTGCCGAAAACGATATGGATTTAATTATTGATTTAACTTTTTCCAAATGAAAAATAATAGATTAATAACAAAAAGAAAAATTCTAGAACGTTTAAATGGAAAAAATTTAAACTAACGAACTAAATTTAAAATTATAAATTTGACATAATATAAATTTAAAATTTGATATGAGTAATTCACCTGAATGGATTAGTATATGAAAGAATAAATAATGATGAAGCCTTCGGAATTGGTTTATGTTGCTTAGTAGGGGCCAAATCCGATATTCTCCTTGGCCTAGCAGACACCATAGTATCATCGCCTTCTTCATCCTCATCGACAACAATTCTTGATAAAAGTAAGATTTGTCTTCATTTTGTTGAATACAGCAAGTGAATACAAGATTCATTTATTAAAGTGAGCCAAATCTTATCCAAAAAAATTCTTCTCTTTCGAAATTATTATACTTAAAGGCTCTGCAATTATGATTTTGAATTTTCTTATTTATGCATCAAATCGATTCGCATAATTTAAATCACAGGGAAAATCACTTATCGCTACCGAAAAATCTAAAAAAACTTACCGACTATCATCTCGCACTTCTTCATTACCATTTTCGTCATATTTCTCATCTTCATAATCGTCTTCTGCTGCTTCTTCTTCCACTTCTATAAAAAAATATGATGAGATTCAATGGAGCTCGAAAAAAATACTTCAAATTTATTACCTGCTTGTTCTTCTTCTTTTTCAGCATTTGTTAAGCTATCCGCATCAGCAAGGTTGTCGACAGCGATGGCAAGGAAAACATTGAGCAATATATAATTACCACAAATGAACAAAACAATATAATAAACCGAAACAAGTACACCCCACGAACCAACACCACCAAATGATGCTATACCATTATACATTACTGTATTCCAATCTTCACCTGTTAAAATCTAGAAAAAAAGACTTCTTACGTGAGATCCTTTTTTTGAGGGGACATTATGAATTTTCCTATATTAAATTACAATGAAAAATTACCATGCTGCTACAAAACTTAAAGTTTTATTAAAAATTATAAATTTCACTTGAAATACCTGGAATACGGTTAACAACGCTTGTATGAACGTATCAAAGTTCGCACGTGGCTTAGCAGTCATCGGATTAAAATTAAATTTGCCACCAAATACCTGAAATAATTTTTAAAAATACTTAAAAAGTAATGAAATAAGATATCATTGAACTATGAATCGTGCAAATAAATTTGTACTACAGTACTTATTCATGCAGTCATTAGGTTCAATTTTTGAATAGCTAATGAACACATGGTTGAATTCATGAAACGACATTCTTCGATTTAATTTCATTACATTAAACTTCATTTCATAATATTTTTAAGACCAACCTGCATACCAAGTAATGCAAATATAACAATAAAAAGAAACAAAAGAAGGAGAAGGGACATAATAGAACGAAGAGAATTGAGCAATGAGGACACCAAATTTCTCAGGGAAGTCCAGTATCTAAAAAAGTTTTTTCTAGTTTTTTGTTTACTGAAAGAACTATCAGGTTAATTTGTAGTCTTCTCAATCCTCAGTCTAAGATTTTTCAAAACGCAATGACATTCATCAACGATTAAAAAATGAAGAGAAGCCTCGATCTTGAATAGTTCATTAACCTATCAAAAGAAACCTTTCAGAAATTAAAAAGAATTTAAAAATGTTTTGGAATAACTAACTTTGTAACTTTAAATATCCTCAAAAGTCGAGCTGAACGTAGCACAGACACTCCAAGAGGTTGCATTAAATCGAAATAAACTAGCACAAATTCAATGATTGAGCTGAAATCATTTTGGATCATATTTACGAATTATATTGGATTACTACATTTATATCGATCATATCGGCCATTGTCAATTCACAATTCAAAAAGCATTTTTCTAATACAATCTTGTTGATAATATTCTTCATCTTCTAACAGCTTTCACCATTATTGATTAGGGTTGCTCCAATGGTTACAAAGATAAGACATTTAAAGCCCTGCGATCTGGTCAGCAGTAATAGAATAGAAGCTGCTCCTTTGTCCATCGCTTAAATCCATATATCGCTGGTCCCTCTATATGCTCAAAATCTTCCCTGACCGTATCAGTCGACTGGTCCTCCTTGTTATTGATGCCACCCAGCACAAGGTTTAACAAGTAACGAAATATATAACAACTCTTGTGATAGGCGACAAAGAATGTGCCTTAACAGCGAAGATGACACTCTATGATGTTAAGCAGGTGGTATTTGAGCAAGGATGGATGCATTCACAAGAGATTATATCCTTTCGGCGAATCCATAAAATGTACCTTAGACACGAGTGGTCAAAGGTAGATTTCTTAATATCTTTCTTTCTCATTGGCCATATCTCGCACCCATATAGCAAGATCGAATCGCGGCTATTTAGACTCGGACTTTCGTTTTTATGGTGATTTCGCGAGGCTCTATAAAAGTTTCATCAATCGGAAGAACGTATTTTTCGCTGCTATTATCCGGGTTACAATTTCGTCTTTTGCCTAGCCATTCGAGTGGTATTAGAGTGAATACAAAGTATTTGAAATCTGGTAACTAACGAATTTGAGAAAATAACTATTTTATCAGCTTGTTGTATATAAGACGAAAAGGCTTTCGTTTTATTTACCTGAGTCCGATTCTCGCTGCAGTTGTTGAAACGTTATTTAGCATTATTTGCATTTCATAATAACTGTCAGCAAAAAGGACTACAACATCATCATCGTATTCAAGGTCATACTATGCTTATTGTGATACTATGCTTTGGACTGATTTGTATACATGTACATTTTCAGTGCCGACAGGCGATGTCATTATCCAATCTATCGCATAGTTGAATATTATAAGGAAAAGACTTGACGGACACCAGTTCTTATTTTGAGGGGGTCTGTCAATTCCCCGTATATACAGATACCGATGTGCCGATAAAATGTTGATATTAATATTAATATTGATAATATTAATTGATAAATAATGATATAGTAATAAATAATTTTGAAATTAACTGAATTTTAATACCTGATGACAACAAAACAATCAAAACGATTGAATTGCGAGGTTGTATAGGTTGTTAAGCCCAATGAGTACATTTTGAGGATCATCTCCATTGAGAAAAGCACCACGAAGAATAAATTTGCAGCTGCTAAATTGTTTTGCAAAAATATTTTGACTCCATATTCACTTATTATTACATTTTCTTAATGATTCTCAACGATTTTCATTAATATAATATTATTAAAAAAATATGTTATGTTATGCTTGAAGTAAAACTCACTTTGAAAATGATCAAGCCAAGGCTCTTGTTTATAATGTTCTGAAGTCAAGACAAGTGTGTTGAGCAAAACAAGAATGATAACAAGCCAGTAAAATGTCTGTGATTTTACTAATCTGAAATAAAAATTCTTGAAATAATTTAATCTGGAACAAAAATTGTTGAAATAAGCCAACGTAATATGAATTAAATTAAGTGGTCATAATTTCTAGTCCGAATAGCTCCACTAGCTCTATGGTTAGAAATTTTTACCAAAAGGTCACTTGGTGATAAATACGAAGATGAATTGCCAGCAGTAGTCAATAATTGACGGTTTTCCAGTAAAAGTCATTTCCATGGTTTTAAAAGAAATTTTCTAATAGAATCTTAATTAGAAGAGAAATTTAAGATATTTAATCCAGCATGACGACCTTCGACATCCACGGCGACATCGCCGATTAAATTTTTGTAATCTTTTAAATTTTTTATTCCACCACGACATTCGTGAATCTTCCGCTTTTTCCTCACCTTCATCATCCATCTCTTCACCTAAAAAATTAAATTAATTAGGAATTTTGCGTATAATTGCGTATAATTAGCGAGTAAATTAAAACCGTTGAAGCATTAAAAAAATTTCAAAAATCATTTCAGGAAGAAAAATACCATTGAACTGTTGTTCATCTTCTTGTTCATCATCATTCACTGGCTCGATATCTTCAGCTTGATTGATCCAATCAAGATATCCCTAAAAAAGATCTCTAGAAAACTGAAAAAATAACAGATATAGCAATAAATAAAAGAAAATAGATGTATAATAAAAGATAATAAAGACAGATTCTTGATGATGAAATCAATGATAAGAACTGAAAATAGATATACCTTCAAATCCTCTTCAAGTTGCTGCTTTTCACGGAACTTTTGGAAAAGTCCACGAGCTCGAGCTTTCTCTCGCTCCTTTGAGAATTCGCTGAAAGAAAATAGGGTCCTGTTGAAATATTCCAAATAATAAGTTAGAAACGATGATTAAACTACAAACCCAGAAAGCACACCAAGAACCAAGTTAAGCACAAAAAAAGAGCCAAGTATTACAAGTGTAACAAAATATATCCAAGGCCATTCGCGACCAACTGCATCATTTACCTACAATTGATTTAAGAAAAATTTGCAAAAATTTGTGGAAAATTGAATTAATGGAACTCGTGAAATATTTCGATGCAGTATATACCAATATGCCGATGCAATATGTATATATATATATATATATCAAATACCAATTTTAAAACAAAAAAGGATAAAAAATACCCAATACATAACATCAGTCCATCCTTCTAATGAGACACATTGAAAAACAGTTAACATAGCTAAACCAAAGTTATCAAAGTTTGTTATCCCATTATTTGGTCCTTGCCAGCTTGTATTTGATGTGCATATCCATTGAACACCTTCATAATGACCTAAAATAAGAGTTTTTAAAATATTTTGTATGACTTTTTATGGGCCTTGAAGAATGAAAATAAACTATGTAAAATTCGTCAAAATTTTTCTTCATAAATAAAAAATAAGTAATTAGGAGGTAATATGTAAAATATGTATATGTAAAACTCCCAATTAACTCTGAACTGCGATACTTTATTTCATCATTTCTAACAGTTAAGAAGAACGATAAATTATTGCAAAATATGGCTATATTACCCACTCATTAGAAGAAATTTTTTTATAAAAAATTGGAACCATTTGGCTGGCAATGAAAAGCAGAAGAAGCAAATCCACATGGTGATGGCGTGTGTTGAGCTAATTGGCCAGTTGCGGGATCCAAACTAAATATCTTTTTTTCAGAATATATTTCATCGGCACATTCGCTTTATTGAAAGTTTAAGGAACAAAATAATCGTCTACATGATATTTTTTATGAAAATTATTGTATTTATAAGAACTGATAAAGCAACAATAATGATTATTGTAATGTTCACTCTTTAAAATGCGATAAGTATATTCCTTATTTTTATCATAAATGGAAATCTCGGGATTGCTTTTGACTGATATAAAGATATAGAGATATTAGGTTAACTAATTATTCACTGGCCAGGATTAACCGTTATATCTTCGTATTGTGCCAATTTAAAAGTGATAATTTAGCTTTTTTAAGGACTGGCTAATTTTGATTGATTCAAAAGAATCGAAAATCTTTTTTTTTATCAATCTTTTTCTCGATGCATGTGGAAATTTTTCTGTTATATAAAGAAGAAATCTAAATATTAATCTAAAAATAATATCAAAAACTATAGCTGAAATAAGCAAAAATTTTCATTGTTATGGAATAATGAAACTGTACGAAATATGAAATATATAAAAATATATGTTTTTGAAATCCACTAACCAGGTTGAATGCAATTTACCACAAAATAATTCGAGGCCAATTATTGCATAAATAATGATAACAAACATAACTAAAAGTGCGATGTGTAATAATGGTATCATTGCCCGCAATATTGCATTAAGTACAACTTGTAAACCTAAAATTTACATACATATATATATATATATATACATATACATATATATATATAAGATTTTAGCATTTTAGACATCAGGCTGTTACTTTTTTCGGGAATTAAGCCAGAATTATATATATATCTTAATTCAGATTGATTCGAAGATAGTTTTATTTAAAGTGGAAATGTAAAGGAGAAATGACTATTGACACTACCCTTCTTTCCTTAGAAATGAATAAAAAATGGAGAATATTGTTGTTTTCATCATTATATTTGCTGATAAAAAGGTGGTGCTGTTTTCTTGCAACTCTATCGAAATTACTATGCGATACTTTCGAAAGTTTAAATCCATCGTTTTATCTATAGATCACTTTATCTTTATCTATATCTATATACTAGCCTTAAGATTAATAAAAACGCTCAGGAATCAGCAAAAAAGTAAATAACTAACTAGGTACTCCAGAAACAAGTCGTAGAGGTCGTAGTACTCGAAATGCTCTTAATGCTTTTACATCGAATCCCTGAATATTCATTCTCGATAATGCTGTGCTTACAAGTCTAAAATTTTGTTTTAAAAACAGCTTAAATTCTTTATTTTTATTAAGACTCATTTAAATTTTTTTTAAGATAAAATCATTGCACTATTTAGTCAGTCGTTTTAATTCTTTATATTTTTAAGGTACATTGTTGTAAAAATTAAAATACTTAATTGCAATAACTCTTTGGCGTGAAATATCTCACATTTACCAATCCTTTTGGAATTTTTGAGTTATTGTTTTCTGTTCATTTAGCCAGCCAGTGTTATAGTACGTTACATTATATGGCTCCTATTAGACAGATATGCTGGCAACAAGTCAGTAATTACCCTTTCCACCAGTGGAACGCCAAGCAATGGTATGTGCTATTAGAAGATGATAGACGGATTGGTTGACTCGTTTGACGAAACTGTTATCAAAGGAAAAAAAATTTTTGCTGGCAACTCATCATTCGATAAAAATAATTTAGAGAAAAAGAATTTTAAAGATATTTTTTTTGCTGATATATTGAATCTAAAAGAATTTACGATAATAAAATTTTAGAAAAAAAAGAGGTGAGAAATGAACCCAATAACGACGATGATAAAATCAAGAATATTCCATGCATTTCGAAGATAAGCGCCTGGATGAAATAAAAATCCTAATGCTATTACTTTTAATATGCATTCTATTGTAAATACTATTATGAATAGATATTCTATTTGTTCCTGCAAATTCATATTTCACTTTTTTGAAGAGCTTTTTTCGAAAATTTTCATAAAAATTAAAATTTTTTCATTGAATAGTTATGAGAATAAAAGTAGTATGGCGTTGCGTATGCGTTGATGTACTGTAACGAATTCATCAAAAATTATGCATAACTAACATTTAATAATATAATGCAAGATAGTTGAGTGGTCGTTACATAAATTATCATCCAAGGCATCGTTTTTTATCTACGTTTCAGAAACCCCTTCAAATTTTATAACACAATTCCATAAGATACATAGTAGCAGCCAGCGGAGCTAACCAGAAATGGTGAGTATTAGCCATTTCCACGGAACAAGCATATATTATTATATTATTCCCACATAACCCTACACAACTAATGATTTCATTAAAATATTTTTATTCTGATTGGAAATAAACATGATTTTATTATCTGTATGCAAATCTATTAGATTTCCAAAATGGCAGTCATTTTTTTTCGTTTAATTTCTTTATTTGTATATATATATAAAATATATATATATATATATATAAATATATTTATATGTATTTATAATATATTTCTTAACTGCGATCTTCATAATGCTTTCAAAGCACTTTCAAAATGCTATCAACAGAAATAAAGTTCTGCTTTTGAAAAATCTTCCATAGCTTTTGGCATTTTTTAATGATATATATATAAAAAATTACCAGAATCGTATTTTTTGTATCTGAATCTTGAGCTGGATATGGTTGATATACAGCTAGTGCTATGCAATTTGCACATATCATAAACAAAATAAGCCATTCGAATGGTCTAAAAATGGAACTGCATATTTGTCGACTATATGAATTTAAAGAAGAATATGTAATTATATGACATGCTATGATATTCTATTTCACCAAAAAAATAAACTGGTTTAAACTGGTTTCTCAATACCACAAATTTTTCTATCTGCAGTTCTGAGAAGCATTTTTTTTGATGGGAGTAAATCTGCCATTAAAAGCGAAATCAGTGTAATATTTTAGCACTCATTTATTTATTTTTGTCGGCTTGCCAATAAAGGGATCTCACAACCATAACATTGTGTAAAGGCAAATTGGTGAAGGATGATAGAGGGTTGTTGAATTGACTGCATTAAATTTTATCAAAAGATCTCATATGTTCAATTGAAAAAAATACAAACAAGGATAAAGTTAATAAAATTGCGAGATTTTTAATAATTAAACTTGTTGACGGAAACAATTATTGACTTGTTGACGGCAATGAAAATAATAAGCATTCTATATATTTGTAATATTTTGACATCATTCATCATCTGTTTTACTATTATTTATTTTTATTACTATTATTAAAAGCACCTCCATTCAACAATTGAAATACAAGCTTTCCTGAGGGGATTCGAAAGAGTTAAACACAGCAGCGACCGTTCACTTTTTTCGACAATATTAGTTGGCCGCAATGGTTTCCGTTGTTGCTGACGCTTTTTTGCAGTTTCGGATTGTGATGTTGCTGCAACAGCCGCCTGAAGCGTTTCTTTTATAAAAACAACATGCAAGCGATTTTCTCAAGATTATATATATATTGATTTAAAAGTATTAATATTTTGATAATTATCTTAAAATTGTTTCTTTTCTATATTTTGTGATGAACTTGACAGGTTTAATTTCGTATTATATTTCCAATTTTTATGGTAATTTAATAAAATGCAAAAGACAATGCCTTATCAATATTCATTGATATTTTAATAAATGTGTAAAATCATGCAAATTAGGGCATGAAAAAGGAATTCAAAATTAAATTTTATATTATGCCTTTAAAAAATTAATTATTATCTTCAATACATTTGATTCATTTAAGGGATTTGAAAATAACCTGAAGGGTTTGCTGCCAAAGATCAGTCCTTCGAGTTTCATCCGCATGATGGTCATCCTCCTCTGCTGAGGATGCCATCATACTGGCAAACACTGAAAATGCGTAAACATGGGATCATCTTTAATAATGATAATAACAATAACAATAAATAATAGCAATAGAAGAAGCAATAAAACTGGTGATAAAATAGGCGAAAAAATTTGTGGCTACTGTTCAATTTATTAAAATTGAAAATTGGATGAAAATTTATTATGCAGTTTGCATCATAATAACAGATTTCATTTTAGATCAAGAAGGTCTATGATCGGATTTGAGCCAATAATAAGGTACGACATATATTTTTATTGAATAATCAGTTCATCTCATATTATAGTTTGTGATAATTTTATTATTTTTCTATCAGTAATATACTGATAGAATAGAATGAAAGACTCCGAGATTTTCAAGACAAGAAAAATTTTCAAGAAAAATAAAAACTATGAAATTTGAATCATTTAAAAGCCTTCATTCGCAATAAATAATTAAATTAGCACATATGATTTCTGGCTAGTTTAATGCACTAGTATGATAAGAAATTTTTATCAGGGAATTACTTGGTGATAGAAGTACAGGTCGCCAACACTAACCGAATTTTTTAATGATAAATTTACTTCTGCCGGAAGAGCGAACCGAAAAATCATGCTCAAAATGATAGGTGATAACCATTTATAAAAAAAGCACCATTACGATTAAAAAAATTTGACGAAAATGATATCAGCAAATAAGTTATTATATTGATAATATGATTACCTAAATCAAATATTTAGTTATCACTGCTATCATTAGTATTTTGCTGTCGTTATCACTGGGGATCACATTTGATATAACAAAATCTTAGAATAGTATAAATTGAAATTTTGGATTTTCAAATTCGACAATAATACTAAATAGTTTGATGAATGAAATACTCAGAAATGAAATGAATTTTCAGCTGTATTTTCAGCTTCATTTGTATGAAAAAATTTATAAAACTAGCTGGATTAAAATCGAATTAAGCAGCAATATCTGAATCTTCTAAGTGAACGCAATGTAGAAATCGAAACTAGGAAAACTTTAACGCCAGTTTATCCCACTTATTCCCAAAATTTTCAAATCAAAAAAAAAACTTTAACATTTTAAAACAACATTCTATCAGTGAAAAGGACAATTCATGAATAATTAAAACAGTTATCAATCTTCTTTGAAATTTATTTTACCTAACTTTATATTTGATTTTTAAAATGAAATCGTAAATCAATCGAGGAGAAAAATATAATGAAGGAGAGCGATATCTTTCTGAGAAAAATTGCGAATGAAATTACATGCATCGAAAAACGTTCGCTAAATCCTTGGAGAGAGGCAAATTTACTTACATGCATTCAATTTATGGTGAAAAACAAAACATTCGATGAAATCTTCTGATGTCATTTTAAAATGAATTTTGAGAATATTATGGAGGAGTTTTTTTTATTGTTTATTGTTCATTCATTAATCATGAAAATTATATGAGAGAAATTATACGAGAATTTTTCAGCCAATAATATTTTGCTGTCGTTGCCATCGTTACATGAAAAGATTTTTCGGCAAAAATTTCAACTTTTAAGAGAGGATTTTTGAAATAAAAAATTTTTGCTGGAAGATTTTAAAACATTTAAAATATCATTATTATAAATTGTAAAAAATTAGGTTTGCTTGATTCGAATATTTCTCCATGAGAAATTAATTTTTTTTAATGGAATCGATTAAAAAACTATACGGAGGCAATTTTTTGGGATTATAAAATATCTTAATTACCCTTTTGGTAGACTTCATTTGACTTCATTTTCTAATTTTAAGCGCCAGTTTTCTCTAATAATGAACAAATAAAGCATTTCTTTTACCTCATAGTTCATATATGTAATAAAAAGAAGGAAGCATCGAAATAATTTTTATCAAGTATGCTCAGTCGATTTCAGTTTAGTCCTCTAAGGAGTTTTGTAATTTTTATTAGTACTCTTAATTTATTCCTTTTCACAACATAATGTCAATTTTCTTTTTTGATTTCTGCCGTGAAAAATCTAAAGGAAATAAATAAATTTTATATATATTCCGCTATGAAGAAGAGAAAAATTTCTGGGATTATAGGAAAGATTAAGCATCTAATAAAAGAACGAATAAGAGAAATAAGAGTAGAGGAAAATCGCTAGCACCACTCGAATTTCTCTCTAGCTTCACTTTATCCAGGAATCGGGCATCGAATCTATGATACTAGTGATCTACTCCTACTCCTCAATAGCCGAAGAAAAAATTTCAATTCTTTTATCGCAGAAAGAAAAATATAATCGAAATATTCACAAATTACAAAATTGCACCTAATTAAATTTGGTGGAAGTTGCTATAATGCTACTGATCGATTATTGGTTGAAAAAATCCTTGAAGTTTTCCTCAGTTTTAGATATATTAACCATCAATCATTTCCTTTCCATAGATCTATGTCATTAAGTGTGATACCATGACAATGAAAATGCTTACGTTGTATCATTTTTTATGATAATTGAGTCAAAAATTAAAATTAATAATTATTTCACTTTGCTGACCTAGTAACAAATAAGAGAATGATGGTGATTTGCATAAGGAAATGGATTTTTCATACTGACATATTATTAATGTTAACGGTATTAACAATGAAACAATGGTGGATACACGAAATATTAAATTAAAATAAGTTATACTGTAAAATAAGTTATTTAACTTCTTTTACCACCTCTCAAAATGTAAGAAATCTCCAAGGTGTTCAGTGCAATATATAAGATATTCCTTCTTCCATCGTATAAGTCCATATATCGTTGGTCCATCCATACGTTAAAAATATTTTTTTCTTAAGAATCTTTCTTGACTTATCAGTCCAAGTATTAATTCGTCATCTTCGCTTTTAATGCCATCTATCACAAAGTTTAGCAAGTAGATAATAAATAATTCCTGTGGTGAACGACGAAGAAAGAGCGAACCAGCGAAGACGATGGTGCTATTATATAAGTGGTATTTGAGTGAAAGTGGATGTAATCATATGCGATTTTATCCGATCAGCGAAAACTAATATCTTAGACATGAGTGGTTAAAGGCTGATAACTTCTTAATATCTTCCACTCTCATTGGCCATATTTCGCAGCCATATAGCAAGATCGAACGAATTGTAGAACGTGGAATTGTAGTGATTTCGCGACTTCTAGCGGGTTATAATTTCGCTTAGCCGTTATATTATCAACTATAGCCAAATTATATATTTTTCCTCCAAATTGCAATTGAAATTTTCCTATTTCTTTTATACAATGGGGACCAATCGATCCACATGTTAATAGTGGCGTATTTTCTTTGAATAAGCATAGACAAGTAATAATAATAGTATATAAGTTGATAATAGTAATATTCGGCCATTAAATATTATGGTCAATAACTCAGTGGCAAGATAATCGCTTCGAGGTTTAGGTTCGAATCAGTATCAAATTACTCTTCACCCGGTACCAATGTTGCCTAATGGAGAAAGTGAAGAAGAAGAGAATGGCTCAGTGGGTTGTCAATTCGAGGTTGCTGATGCTCAAATTCTACTCTCTGCAAGAATGAACCTGACCAAAAACCTGGGAATGAACCTGGCGAATCACCTGTACTTCTATCGCCAAGGACGTATTCTAGTCCGGCAAGCCTGCCGAGTTAACTAGTAATGGTGAGAACTCTTTAAAAAATAGGGTAATGCCATTTACATGCTGCATTCTTCTAATATTAAAATATTAATAATAATGTTTTTGCAAGAATTCTCTATTTATATTTTCTTATCTCACATTGAATTATTTTCATAAAATAGTGAGAATAATCAAAATCGGTGAGAAAATACAATAAATTTATAAGTAAATGTGTATAAATAAATTTACATATAAATAGAAATTTACGAAATAAAAGATAAAATATTTCATAAAATGGTGAATTATTTGGGAAAAATAAAAAAAGAAATAGCAAAGCATGAAAAATTATGTAAAATAATTTATAAAATAAAATAGGCGCAGAAAAAAACGCTGGTATCCTAGATAATCAAAAATTATGCAAATACAAATTAATGCTTATAACTTATTATTTTTGGCTAGACTAGCATTGTTGTTTCTACAGTTTCTACAGTTAAAAATTTTTTGCTAAGGAGTTATATTTCTGCAGAATTATTGGTTCGTCGCTAGCACTTCTCGGAAATAAAATACAAGAAAATATGAAAAAATAATTAAAAAATATAAAAAATAAAAACCATGAATGAAAGGTAAATGCAAAATAAATAAAAATGTTGGAAAATTTAAAATATAAATTAAAAATTGAATTTAAATCTAATTTTTTGATCTCTATAGTTCGTATCAAAAATATAAAGAAGAAGACATGGCGAATTACATAATTAGATTCTCATCCATTTTTTTGCCAAGTGTTTAGCAGAATTTAAAGTCCATCATCAAAAAATTCGCGCAGCGCCAGGGATTCATTATATTTCTGTCTCCATTTGGCTTTCTACAGTATTATTCTAATAGTTAGTGGATCGAATTTTGCCAGAAATGCTGGATTCAAACACCAACTAACTAGAAATATGAAATTAAAAAAGTTCAATATTTTAGGTATGGAAATCAATTCATGGAATTAATTTAAAGATGCGAATCGATTAAAAGCAGAAAAAACGTGGAAACGTAGACATCCAAATGTAGTTGGACTAAATTAAATGGTACCCGACCTAGAGAATGATAAAATGCATAACAAACGAATGCATAAGAAACGAATTTAAAAATGCAAAAACAAAGATAAAATAGCTGAATTTCAAAAAAATCAAAAGAATCAAATTAAACGTTTGTTATATCAAGCAAATTTAAAAGGGAATGCAGGAAGCTTCAAATTAGATTTTAACTTAAAAATGTTGAAAAAACCAAGGCCAATTATCGATTCTTCTTTTATTAAATATTGTACTTTTCACATAATATATACAGGAATTCAAAACTCCTTAAATTTGTCGTTCGTGCTCTTCGCGATAGAAATACCAGCATTACCATGGTTTTTTAATGACATTTGATATGAACTTACCTCTTGCCTCTCACCACAATTTTGGTCATTATCCAGTTAACTAACCTTTCCAACTTCTAATAGAACAGAAATGAAATTTTTTTTCAGAATTTGAAGAAGTAATTCTTTTCATCTCCTTTTTAGCCTTATTTACTCATCCAACTATCAGTTTTCAGTTTTAAGGTTTCTGAATTGGTCAATTTTTTTTTGCGAAATCCAGAGATAAAGGATCAATAAAACTGAAAAATATCCTTTTCTTTAATAATTTTTATTGAAACGATAATGAACGATTCGATATTCATTGTCCCAGTGTATGAAATTGGTCGATTAGCATGCTATTCCGAGTGAAAAATGATACGCTTAATTCATGCTTCTTAAGGGAAGAAACCTATTATGAAATAAAAATAGACATGGATATAGATATTTTGAGTATTTATCAGCAAACGGTCGTTAAATTAAATTATTTTTGATTTTATTCCTGAATTATTTTTGTTTTCTAGTAAGAAGAAATTTTTATTCTTCCCTTTTCATTTATTTATTTTTTATTTCTATTAATAATAATAATAGGGGGTCTAAACTGGTAAATAATATCACAATAGCACTATTTGCTTGCCTCTTTTTTTGCTAATAAGCCTATCAGAAAACTCGAATATCCTGATAACTGATTAACTCTAACCATTGGCTGAGAACCAGCTTGAATTCATTGTTCTGGAGTAATTCTGTGGTGAAAAAATTTGGCAATACTGGTGCGGCTTCCGCGAGCTCTGAGGAGCATGATACCCTTAATGGTGCATGCGATAAGTATAAAAATCGAAATCTAGTAATAAAATGTGCTCTTGAGCCAAATAAATGTTATTGGAGATGATGAACTCTTTGCGCAGCGATGTCGTCCTCATAGTAACGTCAGGACGAACATCAGAAGACAAACGATTAAAAGGAAGTTCTTCAATATCTCGGTGATACCTACTCCAACATTTTCTGCAGATGATCGAGCTAAAATAAGTTTTATGCGAAATTATTTCAGCTGTTAACAATATCTCTACCGAAACATAAACAAAATCGAGGGAGAATGGAATGCGCTTAGGTCATGATACCACGACGAATCGAATCCGGTAGCAAATATGGCATTGTTGTCAGGTGCGCCAAGGGAGAACGCTTTTTTTGCTAGCGAGCATGAACCTTCTTGTTACTAATATATGTTTCCAATATCGAAGAAAACATCTGGTCACGTGGAACTCTCCAGGTAACCAACAGTCCAATTAGATTGATTATATTTTAGTCAGTCGCTATTGGAAGAGTTCTGTACTAGATAATAAACTCTTTCAACTATTTCAAACTAAAAGATTTGGACATATTTCAAACCGAAACATCTCAATGATGTAGACATCAGCGACATCTAGATAAACATTAGGCCCAACTAAAAACTTAACCGAAAATTAGCCAGTTCCACTAAGAATAATAATAAGTGCGCTAATCCGGAATCGAGAGCTAACCCAACTATTTAAAAATGTTGCTAAAGCACGAAAAATATCAAAAAATCCTGATTGTCGAATGTTTCAAAGAATTACAACGACAGCAGCATGGCGGGGCAGACATCATTATTAGATGGATATGGTCTTGGAAATAGAAGCTGGAAGAAAATAAGAAACCATTTCGCTTTCTTCATAAAGCAACTATAATTAGGAGAACGATCAGTGAAATGATATGGGATAGTATTGCCTGCTCAGAATTATTAAGGATGGAAGGAATAAAATGGAAGAAATT